TTTATATATATATATATATATATATATATATATATATATATATATATATATATATATATATATATATATATATATGTGTGTGTATATATATAATTGATAACATATTCATATATATTTATAAAACATGACATGATCTGATTTTTGTCAAGATAAACTGATAAAGCCAGGGTCTTATTTCCTTCCTTGGTCCGCCGACCTTTATCAAGAGACAGATATTCCATACCTGACCTATGAAATACTGAAAGATAGGAAAACTAGGAACATCTTATCAGAAAGACAGACTGCCAATACAAAATAAAACATGGCATGCAACTTGGGCTTGCAATTTGGAGAAACCCATCATCTAACATCCTGACCCATTGGAGGAGTAATTTCAATTTCGAATTATTATTTTGTGTAATACGGTAGTGGACAAAGGGTGATCTGAAAGCTGTTATTGTAGGCTGTCTGGGATCTGGGTGTCACTTTTCATGGGCGTGTCGCAACACCTGAGCGCTGCACATTGCACAGAAAATGAGGCAGCAGGAGCAGCTGTTATCTGTCAACAAGTGCCATCCGCGCAGTTTTCTCCCACACCATGATTATTTCCATCAACTTTTAATGAACCGATCATCTTAGGGAAAGTGTTTTTTTTGTCCCGCGCATCAGTCCTGCTCTGCCCCTCGTTGTCATTACGCACAGTCTGGAGATGGCGAAGAGCTCAACCAGAAGGTCTCTGAAAACGTTGTTCTCCAGGAGCGAGGTCAGCCTGGACGAATCGGTGGAGAAGGACGCGAATGAGAGAGAGAAGACGAAGTTTAAATTCTTGAAGTTCAAGAAAAAGACCCCCGTGAAGGCGGCGAATGAGATCCCGCATTTGCTCAGGTATGCTTGCATAATGCCGCAGTGGTCAGTGTCTTAAGAGCCATTTTAAGTAAATGGACCTGTTTTGAGGTTGCAGTCTTTATTGTTGTACACCACTAATACTCAAAATGTGTGTGTCTGGGGTGAAGTTTTGGACTTTTGGATTGATGCTTTTCTCAGTTGAGCCTTTCACATACTTTCGTTGAATGGGACATGCCCTTGTAGTTTAAGTCAGCTCTCATCATACAGTTGGCTGTCCAGCAGTCAGTGCGGGAATTTATCAGGCAATAAAGTATTTAATGAGGTTAATGGCAGCTGAAAAGGGTTATTTCCTGCACCATGTCAAATCCATTTCCTTAGAATTAACATGACTTTGAAGATGATTGAGTTGATGGAGATTTAGATAGCCCACAAGGGCATTTCTGTCCAGACAGGACTGTTAAAAAGGGGGCTGTGAAATCCATAATATGCCAGTCCATTCTTTCAGTCATAATGCAATTGTGCAAAAGAGCAAATGGAATATGGAGGAATTAAACCCCCTTCAGTTCTCTGAAAGCTTGCAGAATCCTTAAGGGCAGGGGTGTCAAACTCAAGGCCCGCGGGCCGAATCCGGCCCCCCACGTCATTTTATGTGGCCCGCGAATCCGCCAGCAAAAAATACAAAAAAAGTTTAAAAATAGACTTGTAATATAAATATCCCCATAGTCGAAATGATGAGATAGAAAGTCGAAGTTATGAGATAGAAAGTCATAATTATGAGATACTTAAACACAACAGTCATAGCTCTTCATGGGTTACCCTACATTTGACATATAAATGTACAGTATTGTGAGTATATTAAAGACTACTTTAAACGTGGCTTTACAACACATGAAACACTTCACGTGGGATTGTGCAAACGCACCCTTGAAAGGATTTTAAGCTTTGAACAAAGTTATTGTAATAACTTGTGTTTGATATTTGTCTTTGATATTTTCTTTAACAGTTTGATAGAGTAATGTGGGTTTCTTAACCCTAAATTAAAAAGGATTTAAGTTATAATAACTGAAATGTGCTTAAATATAGTTTTACATTTATATAACTGCATGTACAATATTTTAACACTTGAATAAACAATAATCAAATGCAGAGACAGTTATTTACCAATATCTTAGGAGTAGTTACATTTACACAGTCTTACAGTTACAACCGGCCCTTTGAGGGCAACCATGATGCTGATGTGGCCCAGAGTGAAAATGAGTTCGACACCCCTGCTTAAGGGACATGCAAGCAAATTGGTTTGTGAAACTTTTTGGAAAAGTCAAACATATAGTAGCTACAGCACTAAGGCATTTGTTTAGCCGAAGACAAAATGAATGATTGAGTATATTGTGTAAGGAGAGCGAGGTCAGCTGGAACAATTTTGTGCCCAACCCAAACGTGAAAGCCCAATTTCGTTAATTGCACAAGGAGTGCATCGTCTGAGTCATCATCTGTCGCTTAAGTAAACATCCTCTCAGTGACGGTGTAAGTGGGTCTTACTCAGTTAGGAAAAGTATTTGTCTTGTTTTTTGTTTGGCATCAACCGGTGGGACAGAAAATAAGCTTCCCAACAATATGGTTTGTTTTTGTCTGTGGCATATAGCTAAAAAGCGAAGAACGCAGAATAAAAATAACAAAAGACCCCAACATTTGACTTATATGCTATAGATTTCAAAACGATCAAAAACATGTGAAGAATAGTCAGAAGGTCTCCACTTCGAGGTTGAAAGTGAAGAGGGCACTGTCCAAACTGTCCGCCTGTCCCAATTCACCCCGCTCTCCTTATTTCATCATTTTGAGGGTACCAGCAAGAACTGCTACTCTGATCACGCTATTAAGAGCTGAAGTGAAAATACCTAAAGTTCTCTGGGTCTAGCTTCTTTATGTTTATATTTTCTGGTTTAAAAGTCTTCTGTGGTATTAAATACTGAAAATATTTGCCTTTTGGACTGCTAGTTGGGTGCAACAAGCAATTTAGATAAGCCAACTTTGGTATTGAACATTTCTCACAATTTTCTGCCATTTTAAAGACCACATATCTGATTAAGATTAAGATAGGCAGCAGATTAATTGATAATGAAAATAATTCGTTGCTGCTAATTTTATGGAAAAGATAGATAAAGAAAATGGCAGAAAGAGACACAAAAACAGAGACTTGTTCTGTCTTGTAGACTGCAATGTCATACATGCACATAGAACACTTATTTAAAAGTCAGTTTTGACTATCAACGTCACCATAGAGGCCTGGAATGTTTATAAAGGAGACGCAGTGCTCTGTGGGGACACAATACACACGTAAGCAAAGGGGTGTGAAGATACACACAGGTTGAGCCACTAGTCACATGCCGGGACAATGTAATCATGTTGTCCGTGTGGTTGTAAACCAGACTCAGTGACAGTTTGTGTTTGCACAGGGACGTAAAGAAATGATGGGCTGACACTGCGAGGAGCGCCTTTGCACACAACAGCTGCACACAGGAGTTACGCAAGGCTGAAGTTTAACAGTGCACACATTCAGTTCAAACTAAATAAAAACAAGCTTAATGTTAATATTCATTTTCAGGACGTTCAAGGTGGTGTCAAAGTCATAATGGTCTCATTTTAAACTGTACCCCTGCTGTATAAGATGATGGAGGAAATACTCAAGTTGCCTTTTCAAACAAGCCAAACACACCCTGAGTTCTGGTTAGGTTTGTCTGGCTTCCGAGTGAAGTTGTGGAGCAAAAGATGTACTATGTAGAGAAACCTGCCGCTCCACATGTCTGTTGTATTGTCACGGGATTACTATGCACCATCGTCATTGTGCCAGGGATACATTTGTAACATTTTAGTCACAGTTGTAGCTTAGATGTCTCAACTCAGCTACGGTTAAATATCTGTGGTCACAATGAGTCACCGTATCGTTGGACCTGTTATCTTTGTGTAGGAACTGTGGTTACACGAAGTGAGCGTGCTGCACACCTCTTGGAAGAAATGTTTCCTCAAACATGTTTATTGAAACAGAGTGAACTATTATTGAATCCAAGTATTAGACCAATGTGTTGCAATATCATTCATAGAGCTGGATTCAGTCAGAGATGGGCTGTATTTCTATTACTTGTATTTGAAATACGTATTTAGTCATTTATATTTATATAGTGATTTTATATTTAAAATACTCAAAATACTTTCTCTACGAATCAAAAAACAGTTCACGAGTTCAGTCTTCAAGTTCAACGGATTGTCTGTCAAGATAGATATTTTATCTGAGTGTGACAGATGTCAACTAGCTTGATGTATAATTGATGTCTGGGTCTGGCTACATAGCCTATTGTTATTATTATTATACATGGTGATGGTTATAATATCAAGCTCGATGCTAACATGCTAATGACGCTAGCATGCTGTCTAGGCTAGTGCATAGCCAGTGTTTAGCAAGTTAACTTATCAGTCGAGTAGATAGCTATATAGGAAGAGGGAGATTGGGAGCTTGTATGTTCATGATAACCTTATCAAGAGACGTCTGACCATCTAATCTTGCACTGTATTACAAGTTATGCTGTATCTTCTCAATCTGAATGTCATAATGCCATATCAATTACTGGCAGATAATATAGTTCAGTTAGCCAGGCTATGACAGTAGATGTCCATTTGTTAAAAAAAAACAAAAAACATTAAATATCCAATTTATTTCATTTAAAAGGCATATTATGAAAGTATTCTTAGTTTTATTATTTCACACATTTTACAGTTGGCCAGGTGGACAACATGTCTCAGCAAGATGATGTTCAAGAAGGACCATCAACAAGCACAGATGTGCTTATTACACTGACATGTCTGTGACTGTTCTTCCTGTTTGTGGGCTTCACCAGAGCTTTGTGTACATTATAGCCCAACCCTGAATGCTCTGCTATACCAAATTGTGAGAAAACAGAAAATCCAGAAAAAAGTATTTCCTATATTTTAAATACAAAATACATGGATTGTATTTTGCTACATTTTCTGGCACCAGTATTTTGTATTTTATTTTGATAGATTTATTTGAGGGGTATTTTGTATTTTGTATCAAAATACATTTTGATGTATTTTTGCCCATCTCTGGATTCAGTGAAGTTGTAGATAGCTTTGTTAGTCAAATCAGCTGTGGGCTTCAAATAGTAAATTGGTGATACTGCTGTTGGGTTCATGTTTTGTCTGTTCCATTCCGTCTATTGCTTTTTGTTAAATGGGGGTATTGACTCCAAATGACATGGCAGACGAAAACAAAATGCCTGTCTTACATCATTCAAGGGATAGTTTTCTTTGAAGAAGAGCTGTATGACATACGTAGTAGTACATTGCTTTGCTGCCGTGCAGGTAGTCCCGTCTGTTCATCCAAACTGGGGGCGCACAGACCGTCCTCTACTGCAGGTAACAATATTGAATTCATCTGATTATCTTGCACGATTCACTGCAGAGTACGAGGCAGCATCAATCTGCCGCTTGCTCTATCTATTCAAAGCAGAATGAGCAAATGACTGTGATAATGAGTCCCAGCATCAGTTAGTTGTGACAGCTGTGTGCTCTGAACAATGACAAATAGTTAAACATAAACTTAACTACATCCCTTTCAGGCAATAGCACTTGTGTGATGATAGTAGCACATGAGGGAATACTGCAGCGAGGCCCTCGACAGATGACGGCGATTGTGATGCTGAAAACCTTTTAAATTGAGTTGCATTTAGAGCCCGATTAAAATGGCATTGTTTGGCTAAGCAGTCATGACATCCTTTTACTAAACAGACTGTAGCTAGAGCACATAGTAGGATGACCTATGGTCGTCTGTCATCTTCCTACGGTCCTGGTTACGCATGTCTGACAAGCTTGAATGTGGCAACATGCCTAGCCATGCACACAAAGGTTAAGCAAGACTGCTGAAGTATCGACTTGGCTTCCTAAAAGTCATTTTTACTTTTATATCTCAGTTAGGTCATCCAACCGAATTTTAAGAGGAAATAGTTGTTTGTAGTTTGTGGAGAGGTAAATGAGAAGATGGATACCAGCCTTGTATATAATGCAAATATCAAGCTGGAGCAGTCAGGTAGCATAAAGATCGGAAAGGGGGAAGCAGCTGGCATGGCCGAAGATAACGAATTTGCCACCAACCAGAAACAAGTTTTAGAGGTGCTGAACAGTTCCTGTTAGATGAACGAGACGGTTCCTATTTAAGTCAATCGGCATACAGAAAACATGGTTTGGCTGTAGCAAAGGTCTGCCAGTTTGCAGATGCAAATGTGTAAGTTTCACTGCTGGAGGCCATATCTCTCTCTCTCTCTCTCTCTCTCTCTCTCTCTCTCTCTCTCTCTCTCATGCAAACAAACATTCCTACATTTTATTGCACAGCCAGAGGCCAGAGGAGAAAGTAAAGAAGGCAGTTACATCCTGTTAAACTTCCAAATCGAGATACATTTTTCAGAATGTCATGTGTCTGTGTTGCAGTTCACAGAGTGAGAGGCTTGTCTCTTTGTGTTGATATGTAAACACACACCACCTTGGGAAAAGGATATGACTCATCCTCTTATCTCTCTTATGTGTCATATTATTTAACAGTGTCAAATCCCATCTGTTGATGCTGCATTAGGCCTTTATAAATGGAAGAGTGTGATCAGTTGTCACGTATTTGGTTACAGGAAAATTTCCCGCTCCTATACTTGCAAAACAGCAAACGGTGTTGGTGTTTGCTGCGTGCCGACTCGTGAACATGCATGGGTTTTGAAGTCACAGTGTTCTATAAATGGTGGCTCTGCTACTAATGTTTGCTCATCCACTTGTGCAAAGGAAAAGCACCTTTGTGTATAAAGTGACCTTTGTTTCATTTGTTTGACGTGATGACAGCTCATGATTATTGATGGCGCCTCTCTGTTGACTTTGAAGCCCCTGTAGCCTCACTCTGAGGCCGACGTCCCAGGACATGAGTCAGTAAACATTTCTAATGACTGAACAAAGCCAAAAGCAAGTTACTTGACACAAAGTGGACAGAATTTAATTATCTTAATAAAAAACGAACTTAATAAAACAATTACCTTTATCCTCATTGCATACTTAGAAGTCATATTTAACATGGAACGCTGTTCCAAGAAACACAAACTCACTCTCTGCTCAGCCGGTTCCATTCAACATTCCCTAGGCAGTGATTCACTACTTTAGTTATGAAGCAACATTTTTTCTTTCTTTTTAAAACCAGTGCTTATACTGATGCACACACTGGATGACCTGTATGTATAGATTTCCCCCACTCCCTCATTGTTTCAGTATACTGTACTGTATATTGCATATTAACTCATTAATTCCAGGGTTCAACATTAGCCATGGCCCCAAAAATGTACTCTGTGGCCACCGAATATGTAGGTGGCCTCCTGTGGCCGCCAAGTTTTATCACATCCCTCCTGGGAATGAAACTGTGTGTCTCAATGAGATCACCTGTCTAAATAAATAAATAAAAATTCCCATACTGCCTAAGGCAAAAACAATGTTACGGTTCTACAAACATCGTGCTTCATTTGTGACCTCAGTTCACCATTTTACGAAAACACAGTACTCAGTACTACACTTGGCAGCAACTGAAATGTCGGGGCTACTGAAGTACGGGCTCGCTAAGCCTTCTCAAACTTTTAACGCGATCCTTACAGAAGAACCACAAACACACAAGAAAACGAAACAGGAATGGAAGCAGGCTATACGTCACATTTAAGGGCACAATGTATTGCGATGTGCTTAGAAACATGAGCGTCCATCCCTGGATTGGTCATTAAAGGTCTTCTCTATTCATATCATTTGAAAAAAATAATTAAAGTGTCAGATGTTTGACCATACAGCTTGTCATAGCTCACGCTATTTACATATTTTTTTCTGCTGTGGGAAACATTCAGAAATGTAATTTCAGCTGTAATTAACTTTACTAATTTCACATTTTTAACTGTGTACCCCTCAGTGGTGCTGAGCCCAGCAACACTGTCAAGGATGGCGAGGCCTGGGTTGACAATATCACAGCGGACAACAAGAGTTCTATCTACGGCACCACATCCAGGTCAAAGGTCAGTCAAGCTGTTTGTTGTGCCATTAAAATAGCATAATCTGGTTTAGTGGAACCATATGAGTATAGTTTGGTGAACTTGATTGCCTTTGACAAAGTCTTACAGTTACATGTCTTTCTGTTATGTGACGTACAGTGAACACTTTAGAAATGTCCTTTTTAAAGTAGTTATTCTTATGGGCATAGAAGCTGTATAACAGAGACACAGCGTTTCTGTCTGAGTTTGCAAGAAAGGTTTGACTTTACTTGTGCATGAAATAAAGTGTCCTATTTTTATTGACATTATTTTGGGTATTTGAAACAGACGGATACCGCTTGTATTAATATGTAATAATAATAATAATAATAATAATAAGCTTGATTGGACCAGATCAGCATTGGTTTCAGAACCTTCCCAAGATATAAACCAGATAAACTCTTAAAAGAAACCTTACTTTAAAAAAAGAAATGTTAGAAACCTCAGGAGAGGCAGTTTCAAGAGGGATAGTCCTTCCTCTGATGAGGGGGGATGCAGCGGTGGGAAAAGGCAATAATGAAGACTGAAAGAAATTGTATGTTGTGTGTGTGTGTATATATATATATATATATATATATATATATGAACATGAATTAACCATAAAGCAATCGTTCTTCCATTTAACATTCTGTGCAAAAGCTCTTAAGTCCATAGTACTGAGAGAGCTGAGTCCAAATGGATTACAAATGTAGAACTTTCTTAGAAACCTACGGTAAAACAGGATTGTGAAACTTTAAATAAATAAGGTCAGCAAGGTCAAACCTATAGCAAAACAACCTGTTGGCAAAAAAATATTAATTTGCTAGATTTTTGTTTACTGTTTTAAAGCAGGTAATTGTTCTGCATATTGTGTGTTTACTTATACATATACTTACAAAATGCAGTGTGTCTAAATTTAGCAGGCTAATGTTAGACTATCATTATTGGCTTTCGAAGTGATGATAAAGCTGGGCCATTATTTTTGTGTGTGAGACACGCAGAGAGAGACATGTATTTGTGCAAACTCAAAATAGGTTTAGTCAAACCCCCCTGAAGCCCCCCTAAAATGTTCTTCAGCCCCCCCAAATAATCTGGCATTATTGGCTTTAAAAAAAAAAAAAAAAAACAATATATTTTTATTTTGGTGATGTCATTAAATTAAACTATTGTTTCTCACATGGACAAGTTATTTATAACTCTAACATGCTACATATGTGCGTGCGTTCTGGTTTGTATGTTTTCTCCCCCTTCAAATTACAATCCAATAGCCTATCATCATACTGAACGATATAAAGTTGACACTGTCAGGTCCATTCTCCATCCATTGTGTGCGGTCCTTTTAAGAATTAGGATTTGGGAGTGACGCGGATATTCTTTATTTGAGAAAAGTTCATATTTGTTTTGTCAAATTTCACTATGACCCTGAAATTCTGTCTCTTGTGTTATCATATACTGAATGCAAGCAAAACTACAGAGCGAAATCACACTCTTTCTGATTGAACCAATCTATGAACTGTCTGAAACAATGGATATCCGTGGCCCCAAAAAACATTGCCGCACACTAACATGCGCAACCATGCCGCTGCCCTTGGGGCTAAGCCCCCCCTTTCTTTGACTCCTAGAAACGCCACTGACTTTAGTCATCCTGAGGATCAGCATTCCTTCATCAATTATGGCCTGTAATTACACACGACCATTATGAACACAATTATAAGCAATAAATCCATGTCAACTGTTCAGTCTAGGTTGTTAATCAAAAGCTGATTGCATTCCACGCTTTGTAGATTCTCCCTCCGGGTCTTGCTGACAAAATTCTATCCTCCTCAGGCTCACAAGCACACACGTACAGGCGACTCTAAAGTTCAGCCTGCCGGCAAATCTTTTTCTGTTTCATCTCAGATCTTCAAGACAGATGGTACGCACAGTTATTTGCAGGTGATCAGATCGGATCACCAACCCATCGGCATGTGTTGTGGTAACGATGTAGGGGTCAGTAGGAAGCATGAGAAATTGAGGATCATTTCACCCTACAAGACTACATGATACACCCTAAAAATTACATTTTGGTTTGGCTCAGGCTCCCAAAGCTACTTTGCTTATGGTTTGGCAGATAGATCAAACCTTCGCACTTTCAAGTGGGAGTGCAAAACTCTTCCGTCGCTGAGTTGGTCTGGTAAAACGGCATACATTGCGATGTTTAGTGCTGCAGTCTGCAGGCCTCACTGTGGTGGTAACAGGTAGTTCATCGGGATGCAAAAGAGAAGTTTGAAATTTGATGTGTCGCTAAAGCGTCCTGACTGAGATGCATTACAATCCAAAAATTGCATTTCAGGTGTTGATCTATACGCCAAAAATTGGATTTGGACTGACAGTCTGAAATAGGCCCAATAATATGTACTGTGCAAATAAGCACAATCTTACTATTTATTAGTATTATAATTATTATTATTATTATTGTTGTGGTGGTTGTTGTTATTATATTGTTATTTAACAACACTTATATTCTCAATTGGGTTACACCCACAAAAAGACATCATATAGGACTCCACTCTAGAGGGCACCATACTTAAAAAAAATAACTTTTCTCTTCAAAGTCACTTGTGATTGTTACATACTTTATGTCCACAATGTTATTGTTTAACTGTCTCTACTCTGGTCTTGTTTCCCATGTATGCCTGCCCTAGATGTGACAGAGTTAAACAGGAGAAATGCAACAAATGGTTTTTATTCCCTCCAGAAGAGAGCGCCAGTGCTTTACTATAACAATTGTTGTCTTTGTGAAGATCAATTCTGATCTGACTGCATTGTTGCTGACACCTGCAGGACAGATTGCGTTGAGGAACAAAGTAATCCCACTCTTATGTTTTACTTCTTAAATTGTAATCCATTAGTTTGGCAGATTTTAAATGCAATGCAACAATAGGGGCGTGAATTCAGGAGGTGGTCATGTCAGCTCTTAAACTAAAAATGAACAGTGATCAGATTGCTTTGCATGTGAAAAATGATGCAGAGTTTAAAAAAGGGCATCGTCAATGCACAGCAGCTGCGTTTGTTTGATCATTACCAGTGGATCAAAACACGGGATACCTTATCTAAACTTGTGGGTGGAAATCTTTGGTGGACATGGGTCATTTCAAGGGGTTTGCGTCATGTAAAGTCCCTCACATTAAATATTGGATTAAGGATCATCCAGGTGAAATGCATCCCTGACCTCGCTGCTACAATCCCTCATTAATGCATCGAACACCTTGGGGATGAACTCAAATGCACCATCAGTAGAAAAGAACATCTCATTCGTCTTTTGTTTAGCTGCATAATCCAGCGATGGTCAGGTTTAACACCAATAAGGACTGCTACAGGTGCCTTGTGTGAGTGTGTCGCTGCAATGTGTTATTGACATTGTGTATTTATGTCACCAGTAATAGTTTCCACTCGTCATCATAATTAGTATGTGCTCATGTGGCCACCTGACAGCTGTGGTTTCTTTCTTGCCGACTTGCCAACCTTCAGTTTGGCCAAAGTAACTTTTCCTGAGCAGTGAGCACTGTGACTGACAATTGCAAGAACATGGTAAATGCTAATAAAGTTGTGTAACAGTAGTTTGTGATTTGTTTTTAAGGAAAGGACCTTTCTTATTTATTAATTAAGGATTTTTTCTTTGCATTTAATAATGAAAAAAAGCCAGTCAATGTTTTTTTTCAACTTGATCTGCATTTGATTGATTGCTTACATTGTTTAATGTTTCATTCACTCCTTCAGCTGAAACTCCACTGTGATTGTTGACTTTGCTTCTAGCGCTTTCGAAACTTTTCATCACCGAAGGAGGAAATTTGACAGGCACACCCAGTTAGAGATCTTGCTGATGGCAGTGACCGACGACCTTGAGTTCCATTCTCCCTCGTCATCGCGGCTCAACAAAACATGCGCGCACAATCACCAGAACAGCATCCCCTCTATCTTTGCAATCAGCGTTGGCCTGAAGCGGCACGCTTAAGCGACTTTTTAGAATATCTGATAAGGAAAACGTGGGTCATAACAAAGTGCTCACCCGAGATATGTTGGCATCTTTTAAAACTTTTGTGTAGATTCATACTTATCTCAATAATTTAGACAAAACATGTTTGTAACAGTAATGGCACTCTGTGACAGTTGTGACTTGTACTTCAAAATCCATCAACCCAAACTAAGCAGTCACAATCATTTGGTGATTTCACTTGCTGCAGATGTTATTTGCCGTAAGTCTATCTACTGTTGGTTACAGGCTATGTAACAGTATACCGGATTAATTGGAAAAGGACAGGAAGTCGCTATCAGGTTTAGTAAATCATGTTCTACTAGTCTTTCATTTTTTGTCAGGGTGGAGCAGCTTTTACATCCTTGGAATGAAGTTAGGGTGTCAACTCTTGTAAGGTGTTAGGAATCATTGTTAGGTATGTTTGGTATGTAAGGTATGTTTTTTCTGTTCATGTGTTAATCAATAAAAGGTCAAACTCACAATTATTAATCACAGTGTACAGTTTTGGTTTAAGGCAATATATATATATATATATTTCTATGCTTTTAGAAACATGTCATGTTTATTGTCTTGCATTTTGCATTCCTTGCTCTCTTTTACCCCGTTTAACGTTCAATCCCTCCATCTCTCCCTCCATCTCTCCCTCCTCCTCTCAGGGCAAAGAATTCAGCTACTCAGAGTTGGACCTCCGTAAGCCAAAGAGGTTTGCCACCTTCTCCTTTGGTTTAAAAAAGAGGAAGAAGAATGATCAAGTGAATATCTCCAAGAGCACCTTTGGCCTTCCTAGCGCCGGCATTGAAGAGGAACAGGAGGTAACCCCTGTTCCCTTGAGTGTTGTGTTTCTCAAATTCATGTGTGGCAACTTATTTTTTATGTAACTTATTCAATTTGGTGAGTCAACTGCATAGAGGATCAAGTTTTGTATCATCATTATATTTGTGTAATAACCAAGCAGGGTTAAGCCTTTTTTTTCCTCACCATAAACCCAAATAATATTCCATATACGTCATAATTAAAATGATTTTTAACAACACAAAAAAGATAGTAGAAAGAAATTAAATATTTCCACAAAAAGCTAAATTTATTGTCATAGTGATGAGAATTATTGCCCCAAATCTGCAGCTCCCTTTAGCTTTCACAGAGCTTGATAGGGAGTTTCAGCTCTCCGGGCCACAACTTTACTGATTTAGCTTGCGGCCACAATAAGCAGCTGTTATCAGTCAAAAAGCCTTAAAAACTCACCGTACACAACCTGTTCAGCAACAAAAGACGGATAAATACAGTTAGCGATCAGTGTGAACATAGTGGAGAGGTGGTAGAGCAGGATGTATAAATAAGCAAATGTATGCCAACAAGTTGGCTAATCAACCTAAGAGTCAATGAAATGTCAATTTTTAGAACTTGTTCCGCTGCTCAAAAGTAGCCAAAACCAGACAGTTATTGCAGGTTTAAGGATTCTAAAGACTAAGTGTTGTTTTGAAAGATCACCAGGGATTTTCTTTTTTCAGAATGACATGTGGGCGACTGTAGCAGGGCCGTCTTTCAATCAGAGGGTTGGCGGTTCAATCCCCGGCTCCGGCTCTGCTAGTCGCAGAGCCGGAGCCGGTCCTTAAGCACGACCCAAAATTGCTCCCGTAGTTGTGCCTACGGTATAGAAATGTGATAGAATCTGAATTGTAAGTTGCTTTGGATGAAAGCGTCTGCTAAATGACTGTAATGTAATGATGCTTGGCCCTGTAGTTCCATTGTAATGATAAAACAAGAGAAGTGCAAACTGAGGCTAAATCCTCCATATTTAAAATTCTGTAAATTCCTTTTTCTAGAACCACAGTCGGATGGATTTGGATCAGGCCAACACAAAGACGTTTTTCAGCATGTCTCAACCAGAGCTTGACACCATTGATGCATTTGACATCCCTTCTTCTCCCCCTGGGGCCACAAACCAATCGCAGTCATTCGTCGCCTCAAACACCCAACCAGAGACGATGGAGCGTCTGACAAACGGCTCCAATCTGTTTGACGTAAATGCGGAGCCGCAGAAAGCACCGATTGCCACCGTCCCTGAGCTGCATCTGGATTATCCAGATTCATCAGAGGAGAAACTGGATGATAACTCCAATCCATCTGCCTCCACGACTCGTACAGAAGCCAGCCCTGCTGTCGACAACCAGACTATACTTAGCCTTCCAGCTAGCGGGCCTCCAACCGCGCTTGACACCTCGGATCACAAAGAAGCAGTTGTTAACTCCGTCGCCACAAGCAACGGTCCGTTCGATAATGACATCCTCCAGCAGTCTCACACAGACACAGAAATCTCTCTTACTGGATCCACCAGAGTCACATTATCACATCATCAACCTGACACCCCTGACCTAGTTGACAGTACAAGTCAAAATGGTAAACTCTCCCTGGCAAGTGCTGACTCCAAAATTGACGGCGCAGTTACACAGTCGACCCCTGTTCCTCGCGCCGACGACTCTGCACCTGTCCATCAAGGAATCTCAATTTCTCACACTGAGGGATCTGCTCCCGTAACCGCCGGGAGTGTCACCCAAACCTCGGCTGTTAGCGGTGAGAAAAGTGCTCCACCTGTCAGGCAAGATGCAGTTTACGGAGCGTTGTATGAGTCCCTTTTCCCCCAGAGTTTCTGCTCGGAGGTAATGTCATCCCTCTCGAACCCGCCGCCTCATATCATTACCGAGATAATACATCAATCCAGAAAATCAGAACCTGTCATAGTTAAAACCCTTAATGAATGTCACACAGAAACTTATGTTCAGTTTGACTCTGCTGCTCGCAGAGTGGATGATGCCGTTGGTGGTCATACTAGCGAGAGCTCCAGATTGAGCTCTTACCAAACATCTACTGCTTCGGAGCCTCGAAGACACCCAGATATTTACATCAGATATGTACCTTCCTCTATCAATTCAGGTTCCAAACCAGGTGATGGTGATAAAATTCCTTACTCAGAGCTGACCCGCTCCCTTTCGGAGGTGAAATCGGACAGTTTTAGCCTCATTCAAGACAATGTCAGGTCAGTCCCCATGGTTCAAAGCTCGGCCCCTCCCGTCTCTGACTATGTAACATCCCAAGGGGGAGACACTCGGGTTACTCACTCCAAACGGAGAGCGTTCCTAGTCAAAGGGTTAGTCACAGACGAGGCGAGCACCGATCCTGTCTGTCCCTCTCCCGTGGCTGAAAACATGAGTTCAGCGAAGAGTCTTGAGGTGAGAATCGAAACAAGAGAGACTGTTTTCACTCCTTCCAGACAGGCTGATGTGTCTGATGGGCCTTTAAATCCAGCATATCTGAGCGTTGGATCGGATGACGGCAGTACGGTGGAGATCTACTACAGTGCTGAAGAGGATAGCGGAGAGGGGAGCGGGAGCGAAGAGATGTACACAGTGGACGAAAGAGTAGAAAGTTGCGTGGTAGACGTGGTGAAAGAGGCCGGGTTGTGTGAGGAGTTTCCACAGCAGGGGGAGATTGCAGAAAGAGGCATAAGAAATCGAGAAGCGGGAGAATTTCGGGTGGTGATTGTTAAAATGCAGAATGAGGGAGGCATAACGGCCAACGACGAAGAGAAAGAGGATGTCAATAGCCGATTTGAAGTGGAGGAAAAATTTGGAGGTCAGAGGTCAGAAACTCCAGAGCAGAAGATTGAAACGTCTGAGTTTCTTGTTGGCAGTGATACAGAGAGTCGGGAGAAAGAAATAGAAACCATGGTGTTGCCACAGGTGAGAGATGAGGGGGAGGAGGAGTTACCTGCCACACCGGTTCAGCAGGCGAACGCGCCGATGGTATGCGACTTTGTTACACCCTCCAGTGAGCCGCATGGGCAGGGGGAGGGGTCGGAGGGAAACTTGACCGAGGGGTTGGAAACAGAAGACCACCCTAATGGAGAGACGCAACTCCCAAGCCGGGAGATAATCTACCTGGCTCACAAAGACATTATGAGTTCTGAATACATACACACTGCTTTCAGCAGCACAAGAGAGGGAGACAAGTTCACACCCAGATCTAATGAGTCAGAAGAGCAGGTTTCACTGACAGCAGAGGCAGCCCAAATAGTTGAAGTGAGCAAACACGGCATAAAAACCATCCGTAACGCCACGGGTAGGGCAGTCACAGAGGCTGTCACGGGCATTCTGACACACAGCGCTGAGCTGCAATTAGATGCCACAGAGGTTGAACACAATAGGGCACCACAGAGTAGTGAGTGGGTGGATACAATTACTCAGAGCACAGACAGAACCGCAACGCCGCAAGAACAGGTGACAGCCAATGCAGACACACGCCGTGTTGATGCGGAGGCTGCAGAGACACAATCGGAGAGACATCCATCAGAAGTGCAACCCAATCCGAATCAGGGGTAAGTGGAGAGTCTTGTCTTCCTTGAGAAAAGACACAAATGATATATGTGATTGATCTGATTGCCCTTAACTATGTGTGTAATTTATAGTTTGCTTGTCGGTAGAGTTCAAGTGCATTAATAAGGGCAACTGGAGAGAGTTGTTTTACAAGTCGATTGGTGTCATTTACTTATATTGCAGGTCTGTAGCCTCTGTGCTGGAATGTGCAACATGAGGGGGATTTCAGACACATGAGTGAGCGTTAAATTCTTCTAAATGTGTAGATCAATGTACCTGTTCAGCCAAGATGAGGCACTTTAAATGAGGAACGTTAACTTTTGCGTCTCTGATGAATAAGTCTTGTTTACCAACAGAGCTGTCTACCTGTGCAGTTTTGAACACACCTTTTTTATTGCACCTCATGTCAAGTGATAGAGGGTTTACTGTCAGATACCCTCAGCTCTGTGATCTAATTGACTAATCCACGGAGCAGGTGCAGTCCATAAATCACCTGTCACGATCCATATGAGTTAGTTTATTCTTTTTGTTCAACCCTGAGCTATCACTCGTTACAATAAGGTGTAACAACGCAGTCACTGTCTGGCACAATTTACCACAGATTCTCAAAGTGGGGTCAGTCACACTCTACAAGGGGTCCTTGAAAAGTTTTAATTCATACATTTTTTTTCCTTCAATCAATTAACTGTTTAGATCAGAGGTCTTCAACAGGGGGTCCGCGGAGGTACTGCAGGGAAAAGCGAAATTTTTGGTTGATTAGACTATTTTTTTTTTAAAACTTTTCCAAACATGAATGTGTCCATTATTTTAATAGTTCAGTATTGTATGAAAGATAACAGGTATCTTTATGCATGGCAGTGGCACTAATAGGCCATCACTCATTTTTGTTTCCAGAATCAAAAAACGTCTATTTGAATAGCTTTTAGCAATTGAATTGAATAGCAATTGACAGCATTGTCTGTCAATTGCATGATTATCATGCAATTGACAGACAATGTTGATGTTGGCATTGGTATCAGCTGACAAGGTATGTTTATGAATGGCAGTGGCACGGCCACCCTACTCACTGTACCTTGCACATGTTTAAAATAACAACATGAATATATGAACCTGTGTATTATTTGAATAGCTTAGTAATGAATGCACAATAAAGAGGTATACACGGTACTAGGCCCATTTAATATAAAACACAATTTTATACAATATATATAGTCGGGGGTCCCTGCTCCATCTCTCTATCAGTTTGGGGGTCCTTGGCCTGAAAAACGTTGAAGACCCCTGGTTTAGATTATAAATGTCAGAAAGTAGTGAGAAATGCACATCACAAGTTCCTCCATGGAGAAGGCGACGTCTTCATGTAGCTTGTTCTCCCCGACCAACGGTCAAAACATATTTTACAATAATATGAAACCGAAAAAAAACATTTTTTTATGCTTTATTTTTTCGAATCGAAGTTTTTGACGGACTTACGATTTAGCGATTAAGCTATTAACTGTTTCAGCTCTTGTCACAATATGGATAAACCCTCCATACCTCCATGTTGCATTTGAAAACCATGAAAACGACGTACTAATTTATTGTTACAAGTCCCCCACATCTGCTGGTCTCTTCATGAAGAAACAATATCACGTTTTAGCCCCTCTCAAACAATGGTTGATTCTTACAGGATAGCTTTTGGTGAAAGTACCACTTAAAAGCCTTCTTTTCCATACACAGTATATAATATATGACCAATAGAGCATAATAAAATCATTTATAATCATATGAATAGATTTAGGCACTTATTTTACCACAGCATCCTTCCCAGCAGTATTACCTGCCTCCATCTCCTCAGCAGAGTGTTCATCTCAACATCTGTGAGGGGGGTTCATGCGCTCAGATTCTGTCATGCTTTCAATTTTCTTTTCTTTTTTCTGGCGTTATCACGGGAGCAGATCCACACAATACCCACATTGTGTCATTGGCGCAGTAAATGTTCACAACTTACTCATAAGATCATAATAATTTTTTCTGACAGATGATCGAGAAGATAGATTCCTGAGAAAGGCTTTTCTCAGGAATTTGGGGCAAATGATGACAGACGCAGATTAACTATCGCAGCTACAGAATATTACGTAAACGCAACAGGAACTTAATTTAGCACACAACTCAAAAAATCTGCCTCCTTTTACTCGCAATATAAAGGAATCCAGTGGCTTTGCATGCATCACTACATGTATCCTGTATAGTATATAGCTACTTTCTACAACTTCTGTGTAACCAGTTGTGCATCAAGTGAAGTCAGGTTTAATACAAAATGTTATCACAAGAGGGCAGCAGAGACGTGTCTTTTACTTGTTTGGGAGACCGGTTAGGGAAGAAAAGTACACCTATTATATAAGTAGTAAAATAAGCCTCTTATTTGTTAATGGACAAACACATGATTAACAATAAATTAGGTCCAGCAATTTACTTTTCTTATTGTTTCTTGACAACTTTACCTGAAACACAAGTGGAATGACAAGCTTTTGGCAAATTCTTTCTCTTATAATTCACCTAATTCAAGATTTTAGGCCTGGAGTCTGTCTGAGTCCCTTTTATAGAGACTATGGATGTAATTACACCATTTAACAATAATCAGACCAACAGAAATATTCCATTTCTTTCATTTGGTATCGTCTCACCACCTTTTAAGCCAAGTTCACACTGAAAGAATATCAAAGTCTTCAGATCGCTGTACTGGTCACGCTGCACAACTTGCTGTCTTGTAATCTGGGGTCTTGAAGTCGGTGTGGTTTTCTCACCGGTGACACACCACAAGATCTTTCACCTGGAAAGATTTGTGGTAAAGCAATGCGGGGAACTGCTTGTAGTCACGCATGTTGATGCTGTAGTTGGCACACGTGTTCACAAAATAGTTTGCTGAGGCTGAACCCATTGACATCACTTGAAGCAATGTACCTAATGTTGCACACCTTCCTTGGAGCCACAAAAGACTTCCTGCTACTTTTTATGAACAGTGTAAAATCAGTGGAATCAGTGGAATCCTTTTAATGTTAAACCCATATGATGTCCAATGCTAACGCTTTATGTTATCAATCAATCAAGTTTTATTTATGTAGCACATTTCATACGACAGATGTAGACTCAATGTGATTCAAAGACAATGTTTAACAAGGAGTCATAATGATTACATTCAACAACACAGGGCGAATGAGGAATGAGTGCAGTTAGCTTTTAACACAGCAGTGACTGACGGTGCATAAACTACACTTGATCCCTGAGCTCAGCAAAGCTGCAGGGATCAATCCAAACAGTCACAAGTCACGCTACCGTACACTCAGTCACACATTCTTTAATCCCCAACAGAAATGTTGAGAGGAGGGAGGCTAACGAAAAAAACATGCTAGAGGAAAAAAAACGTGCCCTCTTTTCCCAGGCATAGATTATTAGACAGAAATCATATATATTTTTAGACGCACAGACTAAAGAAGATCTAAAAAGTGTTCAATCTGTAATTATGGAAGGAAACACGTTTCGCCTGCATGTGTTCTGCTTGCTTGAGTTCATCTATTGGCACAGAATCAATGTTAATAAAGGCTCCACCCTAGACTCGCTGTTTCCAGTTTTGGATTTGCAGCAATGTTTCCCTGTATTTTTGCATAAGACTAAAATATTCGAAGCATCATGCTGCACATGCTTGACATTCTCTGACCAAGATGCCTTGACAGGGGAAGGGTTTAAAACAGAAGGTTTGTTTTTGCTGTTGTTTTGCATGTTCGGCATGGTCTACAGTAGGCCTACAGAGTGTGTGGTGACTGCATTCCAACATCTTTGTTCACCTAGGACATAAACAGCGAAGTATTATTAGATGTTAATCAGTAAAGAAGAGTTTTTGCTGTTAAAAGGAGTTAAACGTTTACTCAGAAATGACATGGAGGAAGATGTTATTCTCTGAGCTGTGTAACGAGGTGAGATGAAGAGCTGCAAATTATACCACGCTCAAACGTAATTACGTTGGACTTTTTACTTTGATGTGCGACGCTCACATTCCCCAAGTGTCACTCCATGTACTAGTACATATGGACTCCCTGTTAACACCGGTACATGTTCTCGCACATGTGTATAGGTTTACAGAATGTCCCTGTGCATACAACTTACTGTACAACGTGTGCCCCTGCCTATCTGTCTCCCTGAGGCTCATGTTGCCTGGTGGGATATCATTGGCATATTAGAGTTTAGTCCATGAGGAAGTTTAGGATTACTGCTGGAACTTGCAGGTGCCCTCAAGGAAAGGTATGGTTCTGTGGTTTGAGCAGCAATGTGCTGAATCTGTCTGAGGAGGAGCTCTTATCCACCTGGGTGACTGAGGGCATGACTGATATCTACTAGGGATGGGATGGCATTATGACTCCTTGTTAAACATGCAACATGCTTAACATGCAAATACAACTTTGTCTGTATTTATAATAAGATATTGTTGGATGGATTTAATGTAAATTTCAATTTATTTTGTATAGCCCAAAATCACAAATCACAAATTTGCCTCAGAGGTACAGACATCGAACAATATACAGTATAATTAGAAATATAAGTGCTGACTGCTATATAGCATACATGTATTTTTAGTTCATTTTGTAGCCTTCACTTCTGAAACCGTACCTACTCCTTTGTGGGTGAATGAAAAAATGGTACAACAAAGTGGTTGCCAAGAATATATTACAAACCCGTTCTACTAAACGCACCGCAGCACCCACTAACATCAATACGAGACGAGTGAAACTGATCCGCAACATTACTGCGCGGTCAGAGCAACTGCCGTGGTAAAAAGAGCGAGAAAGTCTTCGTAGGGCAGGTGGGAGTGGGGGGTAGATGTGTCAAACAAGCATAGGACCATCACGCAGGAGACCGCTGTCTTTGTCACATGTGAAAGCAAGTCATCTTTGAGTTATTTTACCGTAGCTTTGTTATGTAGTTAAAAAGCTACTTAACGGCAGTAACGTAACACGTATCCTTATTTTGCGTTGCAAACGTACTTAACTTAAACCAAACAGGATATTTTCCTAAGCCTAACCAAGTCGTTTTGGTGCTTAAGTAAACATAAAAACAAAGTAAACCCATGTTGGAAGTTTATTTTGAAGAGACTGTTTGCGTGTAACAAGCAGGAACTGTATGTTTCCTGTGGACGTTTATTCTAAAAAGACACTATGCACATACTGAGTGGAAACTTGATATGCCGTCCCTGACTCCAGAACTGACTTCATAGTTTGAAGCGTAGGGCCAGAGATGGGCAAAAATACATCAAAATGTATTTTGATACAAAATACAAAATACCCCTCAAATAAATGTATCAAAATAAAATACAAACTACTGGTGCCAGAAAATGTAGCAAAATACAATCCATGTATTTTGTATTTAAAATATAGGAAATACTTTTTTCTGGATTTTCTGTTTTCTCACAATTTGGTATAGCAGAGCATTCAGGGTTGGGCTATAATGTACACAAAGCTCTGGTGAAGCCCACAAACAGGAAGAACAGTCACAGACATGTCAGTGTAATAAGCACATCTGTGCTTGTTGATGGTGCTTCTTGAACATCATCTTGCTGAGACATGTTGTCCACCTGGCCAACTGTAAAATGTGTGAAATAATAAAACTAAGAATACTTTCATAATATGCCTTTTAAATAAAATAAATTGGATATTTAATGTTTTTGTTTTTTTTTAACAAATGGACATCTACTGTCATAGCCTGGCTAACTGCACTATATTATCTGCCAGTAATTGATATGGCATTATGACATTCAGATTGAGAAGATACAGCATAACTTGTAATACAGTGAAGGATTAGATGGTCAGATGTCTCTTGATAAGGTTATCATGAACATACAAGCTCCCAATCTCCCTCTTCCTATATAGCTATCTACTCGACTGATAAGTTAACTTGCTAAACACTGGCTATGCACTAGCCTAGACAGCATGCTAGCGTCATTAGCATGTTAGCATCGCTAGCTTGATATTATAACCATCACCATGTATATACAATAGGCTATGTAGCCAGACCCAGACATCAATTATACATCAAGCTAGTTGACATCTGTCACACTCAGATAAAATATCTACCTTGACAGACAATCCGTTGAACTTGAAGACTGAACTCGTGAACTGTTTTTTGATTCGTGGAGAAAGTATTTTGAGTATTTTAAATACAAAATGAAAGTATTTAAGTATATACAAAAGTATTTTGTTACAAATTACGTTCGATTTTTATCGGCCCGATCAAATACAAATTACAAAATACTCAAAAGTATTTGAAATACGTATTTCAAATACAAGTAATAGAAATACTGCCCATCTCTGCGTAGGGCCACTGACCAATCTGCAGTATTTAAGGAGTTGCGAGTGTGAACATGTTGTACATTACAATATCTGCCAGCGATAATTCTAGATTTGTATTTTAGATTAGAGTTCAGCAACGACAAGTAGCTGCCTTTAGGCTGAAAACGAATTAAGCTTCAGAAGAGTAAGTACACTCTGCTTTGTGGTTTATTCCCATTTGTTCTGTAGATCCAGTCTTGTTTTACCAGCGTGTTAATTTCATCATAACGTCTCTATTGACTGTATTGACTCTATTGACTCTATGTGACCACTATGACCTTTTAGCTTGGATGTGCATAATAGACAGAGATACAGAGAGTGACTCATTTATGTATGTGGTCAGAATGTGGAGACAAGTCTGTTCAGGGCCACTGATACTCAAATGTTTTACAGCCGTGCACTTAATGATGCTTTGCATTTTGCATTTGAAAACAAAAACAACTGCAGATATTTCTGCACCTTTCTCATGTAAAATAAACATGTATTTCCTAATTTGTGTCAAATACTTCAAAAAGCACTTTAATTACAATTGTCAATATTTCTGTTACATTGTTCAAGTGACTATGTGGCAAGAGAATAAATACATACTTGTCTAGTTGTGACCTTTTAGTTTAGTTTTTTTTTCATTTTTGTTGAGCAACTCACTGAAGCATTTATATTCTCATGACCTTTAATAATCTTCCTCTGGCATTGCGTTGATGAATGCCACCTGTTTGATGGGACTGAGTCACCATGTGCATTCTTTGTGTGGTTACACAACCGTTTCACCTTTTACTGGTAGCCATTCTGTCTGTGAGAACAACGTGAAACCGTTTGCCATTTAAATTAACAGAGTTCATAATCGTACCACTCCTTGAAACTTGTGCAGAGTTCTGAAGCTCTATAAAGGTCAAATGATTCACTGATGGAAGCTCAACTCAGAATTACTGACTTATGACCGCTTTATGACATTTGTATGTTTTGGTTTGGCAAAGAATACTGATGGTGTTTTTACTGTACTTTTGTCCATGAAATTATGCCCAGCCTACCACTTTCAAGACTCCACAAGTCAATAGAAACCATAAAAGTTCCAGTTTTACTTGCTTCTGGATAAGCAAGGTATAATATATAATTCAGAATTATGTTTTCACTTAAAGGGGTATTCAATTTAGTGTTGCACTTTTATAAAGTTGGGGGACTTATGAGCGACAATAAAAAAATAAATGATCTAATTTGAAGCAGCAGAGGCCAAGATATCCAGACTTGTGTGGATCAAACTCAGGCGACAACCTCCAGTTTGGAAAACTGAGGCTAATGTGAAGGTGTCTTAAAACTTGCATTCTCTCTTCTGACCAGCAGGAGACAACTCCTCTGGTTGCAAAAAGAAGTCTATGAGAAAATGACTCTACTTCTCTCTTGATTTATTACCTCAGTAAACATTGTAAACATGAGTTTATGGTCTCAATCGCTAGTTTCAAGTCTACTTCAATACAGCAGGATGTTCATTTATTTAGTAAATTATAGTCCCATTTACAGTAAAATAGACGATAAAGCAGGGCATGCTTTAGGGTGTGGATACATCCTGTTTTGTAATTCATGGACGTTAATTGTAACATTTTGGTTGGCTAAAAATATCTTGTTCGTCGTTCGGTTGTACATAGCTCCATCCTCTTGTGTCCCTTCTGGTTTCAAAAAAACAAGATGGCGACTGTCTAACTTGAGGCTTCAAAACCGCAGTCCACAAACCAATGGGTGACGTCACGGTGACTATATCCACTTCTTATGTACAGTCTATTGTCAAACTCTTTAGACTGTTAAATGGCCACTTTTTCTCAAAATCCTTAACAGTTGTTAACACAGACACAGCGTATTATTAACACCATCTTCATGGTGTTGTTTTCTTTTTACCATGTATATTAATTAATGTAAATATCCAGCATATCACTCTTATAATCAAGCATCACACAGACAACTGTGCAGTATCTCCGTTTATGGATGCTACGATCTGATGCCACTTTGCTGACTAAGTGTGTTGAATGGCACTTGTACAGGAAAAGAAAACACACACGGCGTGGAGTTAAATCGTTTGGTTTGCACAGTTCGTATGCTGTAAATGTAATTTTGACTTTGAGTAACCCTGAAATGTCAGCTGACAGCATTTTGATTTTGCACAGATCCTCCCACCGCAAACCGTTTGTTGGTTTGGTTTTAAAGTTAATCCAGCTGAACTGTTGTTTCATTTAAATGTGTTACTGTGTTGTTCCAAACTCCAGTTTCTTCAAGAATTCAACCGTGTCAAAAGTGCAGATAAGTAGTAAGCAGCAAATAAACGGCTGTCTGCATGCAAGTCAAGCTACTCAAACTTTCTTTGTGCGATTTGCATTGTTGACATTGCAGGACCACCACCCCCTGAAGGCACTGCAGTACTTAATATACTGTGTATCAGTCACCATTGTCAAATCAGACTGTCCTCTGTCTTTTCTGTTTGTGTCATCTTTGTCTGTTTTTCTTTGTATTCATCCAGGACCCTGACAGTGTCAAGGACGCCCACAGTAGCTTCAGAAGTCTTTGCTTCTGTAAATCAGCCACCTATAGCCGAGAAGGAATTGGCTGATGAAATGAATTCAGGCTACAGCAGCCTAAGCACCAAACTGTCCACAAATAAGTCCTCTCCCCCTAAGGAGGATGAATCCAAATATCGTTTCCGTAAAGTGTCTCTGGTCAGCGAGGCCAATGCCACTGAGGGAAGCCAGGATGCAGTGGACTTTAGCCAAGATAGCTCCACTGTCACTGAATCAGATAGAACAGATATCGACTCAGATTACAGGTGGAGGAATAGATTTGATGGGGTTTCTCAGTATAGATCATACAAAGCAGAGAGTTCCTCCATTTCTGATTCTCTGAGTTACCGAATGTCTGACTCCTACTCCAGTACCTCCTCCTCCTCCTCCTCCTCTGCTCTCTCCGATTATACAGCCTACAAACACCTCAGCAACTCCTCCTCCTATCCAGAGGAACACGTTACCATTGGCGACAGGCTGAGTGACATGACCAAAGTTTCTCTGAGCTTTGACAGCGAGCCAGCGGGAGCACCAAAAGATGAGTGGAGGAGGAGTTTGGTGGAGCGGGAGGAGCCTGCTGCACCTGCAAGTGAAAGAGCAGTACAGAGAGTGAGAGAGACAGAGGGAGAGGCAGAGAGGTTTCAGTCACGCTGGGACTCTCATCAGCTCCCTGTGTCCGGCATATCCTCGGCTCACGGCCACGACGCCATCGACGGTTGTGAAGACGACGACTGTTTTACTGGAGTGTTCAAGGCCACACTCGTGGAGTTGGACTCCGAGCCTGCAGCTCCCCCCTCTTCTCCCCCAGCCTCCCCCGACGACGACTCCCCCAACCAGTTCGATATGGACAGCCTGGTGGACACGCTGAGGAGCATGGGACCCTCCCTAAGGCTCAGGAACGGGAGCCTGCGCGGGGCCCCTCCAGTCCTGCTCTCCTCCCTGCCACCAATTGTTGAGGATGCTCCCAGCCCCGTCACCCCTGGCATCCCTGCCTCCCTCATCAGTCCCACCAAAAAGATGGAAGCAATGGGCAACCCTCCCGAGTCCCTCAAAGGAATTTACACTCTGCCTAGTGACCTTGGACTAAAGAGGTGCTCCGCCAGAGACACTCGTTCACCACTGGAATTGATGAAGCAGAGCCAGCAGGTACATTCAGACACAAAGTTCAGTAAAGTCTTTGTCTTAGTGAAAAGCTTTGTATCTCCAAAATGCAATAGAAATGAACAGTGACAGTGAAATGTTATTTTCTTCCTTATTGCAGGAGGACATAACTATATTATTTGTATTATTCTATTATTATCTATCATATTAAGTCAGATTTGTCTGGTTTTGTAAGTTTGCTTGCTCTTTAAACTTGTATCTTCTCATATCCCTTTGTGGTTTATCCTAAGTAACAGGGGACAGAGTGCATTTTTAAAACCAACAGCAAGCTGCATGACTAGATAGCTTTATAGGTACATGATTGACAACATTTTAGTTTTGTTTGTTTTTACAACTCGGGTGCATCAACCCTTTAACTCATTGCTATACTCACCTGCAGGACCAGCAGCAGCCCGGAACAAGAGGCCTGAACTTGCCCCTGAGATCATCTGGTATCAACAGTATAATAATGAGAAATTCCTCTGACTCGTCTCCTGGGGAATTAAAATCCCTAGTGCAGAATGGAAACGGACTTCTTTCGCCTTCCACCCCTACCTCCCGCCTGGACAACAGCGTCATCTTTGGAAGCCACAGGTCACCATCCATAGATCAGACTTTTGAAAACGGAAAGGCCCATCGCCCGCTCTTCCGCACCAGCTCGCTACCTGATAAGGGGCCTTCTAACGATCGCATGAGTTCGGGAAAGAAGGAGCTTGGTGAATCGGGAACTAGAACAGAACCAGCCGGGTCCCGCTTTGAGCGCTTCTCCTTCCTTTTGAACTCCTCTCCCTCCCCGTCGAGCTCCTTGACCGGAGCTGAAAGCCCCAGCGCTCATATGAGTCTGCCTCTGCTGCGGGGCATCGGCTCGCCGCCCTCCAGCAACAGTCCAGCCCGCCTCCTCAGCCCCGCCGGCTCCATAGACCTCCAGAGGCCGTTCACTACCACAGACTCCCCCTTAAGTATGTTTGGTCAGACGCAGGGGATGGGGATGGGGATGGGTGCAGGTACTGGGGCAGCGGCCTCTCCCATCCTGCAGAGGAGCTTCAGTAGTGAGGGCACCATGGGAGTCCAGCAGACTTCATTGTTCAACAGTAGGCATGGAGAATCTCAGTTCCAGAGCCAGGTCCAGAGCCAAGAACTTGAGTCTGTGAAGAATTTAGCATCGAAATACAAGGCCTTCCCTGATGCTTATGTGAGTATTACTACTGCTGTTTATTTAGTCTCACTAAGTATTATTAGTATTGCTTGGATGACATTTAAATATATAACAATTCAGGTGAGAAATGTCTTAATTAGATAAAGTTACATGAGCTGCACAAGCTGCTGAGGAAAAGGGGGATCTTTGAATTGAAAAGGAATATTGCGTTTCCACCTTTTTGGTGAATCACTTGTAGAATTAATTTATATTAAAGCAGGCCTACAGAGTATAAGTAATGGGGTTTTTTCTGCACCCCAAGGAAAAGGTAAGTGCAAGAATGCAGTAGAAGAAGCCATTCTCTTGTTATTTCACACTTTGTTTAACAAAAGAGAAGTCAAAGTGCACGGTGTGCAAACATTCGCAGGTCAGTTCAAGGTGGTGTGCGGCTTGAAATGGTCCCAGGTAACGACATGAGAGAGAAAGTCTGCTACACGTGTACATTCTGCCTTTGTAAAATGTTTACTCATTATGTTGAAAGCTCTTTGCCTCACTCGAAGGTCTATTCTCCTCGCGGTTGTAAAAAAAATGACAAACAGCAGCTCAGGTCACAATAGGTGAGAGACACGACTTCATATGTGGTTTGCTGTGCACACAGGAACAGTCCCTCTTTGTGCTGCTTTTTGTAGGTGTCCGTGTACCTTCACATACTGTAGCGTTGTGAATGTTTGTGAAGCACCACCAGAAAAAAAAAACCGGTGCATCAGTGGCTTCCTTGCCAATTCTGATCAAAAAATGGAAATGTATACGGTTGAATCCAAACCTGTCCGGTAGATACTGTCACCGCCGGCGCTGAGCATTACATAATCACACAGAAAAGGGCGTCTACTCAGGAGTGCGTTCAGGCAGGTGTACACTCGTTAAACGCGTGCAAGCATTCACGGGAAGGGCTCAACTGATTAGGACATGTCTTAAATGATTTTTATCTGAGAGAGAGAGAGAGAGAGAGAGAGAGAGAGAGAGAGAGAGAGAATTCACGTGTGCATACGCACACACTCTATTTTCCTGAATAATTGTCGCTCCCACACCCACTTTTCGGTTGTTCTTTCCGTTTCGCGCCTCAGCCAAGAAACCACTAAATGTCACACTCCCAAATTTCACATTCACCCGTTTTATATAATGAGTGCAGGTATGCCAACAGTTGGGAAAGAAAGAAACCACAGAACTTACCCCTTAGGGGAGGTTGCGGACAAGCTGTAAAAGCAGGTCCTGATATTGTGATTTTTTTTTAATGATGCTGTTCTCCTCGATATATCATGTGTTGATCTTTTTCTTTCGCCCCATAACACAGTGGCATTATTTCTGTCCTCGCAAATACAAATGGAGTGCTAGCTGGATGCTCAAGGTGTACTTACTCATTAGTCAACAGCTGTCCTGTGTAGTTTCGATACAAATGTTTGCACAGGATGTTTGCTTATGTTCCAACAGCCCAGTTTGCCTCTGCTGCATTCAGTAGTCGTGGCTGTCGACGCTCCTTTTCCCAGGCGAAAGCATGCAGACCACAGCTCATATTACCGACTGATTCACTGAGACTGTTACTGACTTCAGATGATGGCTTTGGGCCTCTAAGATCTGCCGAGGCTGAAAATATTCCCACAGGAACAAAAAAAAAAGTCACACTTTTTCAGACAGAGGAGTTTTATACTGTCCTCTCTGTCACGAATGCACAGCAGGACTAATGAAGAAGGTATGGAGAAAAGACAGACAAGTGATGTTTGTTTAATCTGGAAATTCATTGACTTTTTAAAATGGTTACAATAATTATAATGCTAATTCATCCATTATCTTTAACTGGTTAACCTGTTCAGTGTCGCGGGGGGGGCAGTGTACACCCAGACTATCGCAGGGCTGACATATATAGACAGACAACCATTCACGCTCACATCCACACCGTCACACCGTTTGGACTGTGGGAGGAAGCCGGAGAACCCGGAGAGAACCGGGGGCACGAGGAGAACATGCAAACTCCACACAGAAGGCCCGTCTAGCCCGGGAATCAAACCCCATCCCCTCTTGCTGTGAGGCTACGGTGCTAGCCACCACACCACATTGTACTATAATATAGTAGTATAATGTAGATTTTAAGAATTCTCAATTATATGACATTACATTTATCTATATAAACAAGAGTATTGGCCTGGCTTTTATCAGTAAAAGTAGTGTGTTCTATTATGCAGTGGGTGTGAACAGGAGATGTTTTTACATCCTCATCCTTTTTTACTCCTGTCGACTTAAAGAAAGAAGAATTAGGCATTTGGGAATTTGGAACACACGTACATGACATTAATGGGACTTTAAACACGCTGCTGCTGACTGATGCATACCTCTATACATCCAATCATTAGTAGGATTCCATGCTGTAAAACTCCCCCATGCATTGAAACCATCAGTGACACTTTCTCAGCCGGTGGGTGTGAGACTTCTCAATAATTTAATCCTCGAAGAACAGTTTCTTGTTTATTTTTTTTCATTATTTTCCTCCACCGGGCTCCCCACCCATTCCAGCTGTCTCTTCCTCACATTTCTCTGCTTGTTTGCTTAATACCCGATGAAGTGGAGGTGACAGGGAGAAATTTGAAGGTGGCAGGGTGAGAGAAGATGACAAAGAGATGGAGTTTTTATTTGCTGTGATCGTCAGTTACATGCAGCACACGTTGTGCATGCATTTATTTAATTATTTTTGAATGAGGGATTTGCTGAGACTGCACATTCCATCCACGGTAACCAATTTCATGGGAGAGCAGATCGTGTGCCCGGGCTGCTGGGAGGGAAGGGAACTCAAGGTGAAAAGTGTCTGTTGGAGTTTATGTTTCATAATTCAGTAAACACATTGCTCCCCATGAATGATGCAGTTGTTTGACCTTGTCTGGAGCTGTATAGTGAAGGCTGGAAGGGACGTTAAGAAGGATGTATGTGTGTATATATATAGTATATATATATATATATATATATATATGCAAAAAACATGGCCAAGATGAGTAAGGCATTGACAGTACTGCACTGGATTTGTTTTTTCCATTAAGATTTTTATTGTTTCCTTTACAAACTGTCCCAACAGTCCCATTTGTTTTACAGATGAATGTCCACACAAAACATACTTAAATAAATAGATAAATAGATATGTACAGGAAAAATTAATCAAATTTAGTTCAAATAAAGTCCAGTTAGCCTCTTCCAATGGCTCTTAGTGTTTCTACCGGCACTGTCCTGTAAACCAGCTGTAAGTAAAACCTGTGAGACAGATTCAAGTGTCCCAGTCGGACAGGTTATGATAGCCTTCCTTGTCAATACTCCTCTATTGTGTTGTGTTTGTCACTCACATATTCAGATCAGGTTTTTTTTTGCCCAAGAGCATCAACATGCAGCCATGTTATTATGACAGGCAAGACAAATGTAAATGTTGACTTTAAGTCTTTGTTGGTTACGCAATAGCAGCATGGCCGATGACAACATCGGCACTAAGTAGACTTAAGTATATATAGTAGAAGTATTGAATCGAATACAACATTATTGTCAACCAGGGTGGACAATTAAAATGTATACACACAGCACAATACTTCAAGTACAAAAGTACATTCATTTAAAAAAGGGGTGAAACAAATCTCTAAAAAATGAGCATTGTCTACTCTATGGGATAAATGACTAAATGATGAGACGGCTTTGTTATTTGTTGACAAAGGCATTTTGTAGCCCTGCCTTTAATATTCTGAGTATTATTTTTATAAATGACCGTATTTTGCCGAATCCCTTTTGCTCTTGGCTTTGGTAAAACACGTATATTTTTGTCATGGCAAACACCAAGTGGAACCAATGTGTTTTAATGTAAAAAATAAATAAAAATAAGATTTACATTTACTAAATGTTAAAGCCTCTTGACTTAAAATACAAGAAAAATGCAGGGAATTGAGAGATGAATGGGAGGTCAAAGCTCTTTCTTCTTTTTATTTGGCTCTGTGGTGGGAAACGCTGAAAAGGCACCATTCATGCCCTCAGCTTGCTTTCACTGAAAATGTAAAAAGGTGTTCTGTTGCTCTTCAGGAAAAGGTCAAATGCTATTGTATCCTGCACAATTAAGGTTCAATTTGGTTGAAATTGGTTATTTATTTCTCAGAAAGTATCTAATTGAAACAGGGTCCATAGTAAATTAGGGCAATGTGGGACACTAACGAGGACTGTTGAAATAAGAGCCTACTGTAAGAGGCCCTCGTTAGTTGGTAACATGAGCCAGATGATAACCTGTTTCCGACAGAGCTTCCAGAGAATAGAGGCGGGGTGATACCGGACTCCAAACACACAATCTCTCTGCTAAATGTATATGCAAATTTCATGTCCGCTTAGCTGCAGCCACATTCCAAGTTGTAGAAGCAAATATCCTCAAAATTCCGGCATACCGGATGAAGGCTCAGAAATGCACATCGCGCACACACACGTGAAACAGGAAGTCAAATCCATCGCAATGTCAGATCTCAGGTGAGACCCTGTTGTTATCGGTGGGAGCAGCACTACAGGGCATCAGGTTAAACAGGTATAGGGGAGGAATGTTTGGCTTTCCCACCTGTGAAGGAGGTGCTTGTGCTGTCATGAAGAATGTCCTCTCTCCTCCCTTTGACGCCACCACAACCTGTTGAACAGTGTGACGTAAACAACATGTAGGTCATCTGGCATGTTTGTGAATGACTGCCATTGTCACCGAACAGAAGTCAGCTAAAATAAATGTAATAGGTGGGGGTCCAACCTTAAAAATGCGAAAGAGGGGTTATTTGGTGTGGAAGTACGTTCTATTATGTCACATAGATCATATTACTGACAGTAGTCTTCTAATATGGATCTGTATTGGGGTTGTTGTAAATGTAAAATAAATAAGTAAAAAGCCGGGGTAAAAACTCTGAATTCGCCCACATTTATTTATTTTTTTACCTAATAGCATTGAACTTGATCTTGGCTTTTACCTTTTATCTTTTTAATCCTATAAATGAAATGCTTTTAAGGTGTCAGAAAAAGAAAAAAGGAAAGAAAATGCACTGCTAAACACTATGTGTCAAGTAGAAAGTTTGCTGAAATATATTTGTTTTCTTTGTCCACAGCTCACTAAAGAGAAGGAGCATGGGAAACTCAATCCTCGTCCTGGAAAGGTGAGTCTCCACACGGCACACACGGCTGAGCGTTGTCACTGATTTCCTGGGACCAGGAAGCGATATCACTGTGAGGGATGTGTTTCTGTGGAATTTGACTCTGCCTAGATAAACAATCACCTCTTTTTTTTTTTTCATGCTGACATTTCAGCCTCTGGACTGCAGAATAGAAAGGAGGCAATAGAGAATAAAGTGTCTGAATACAAAGATTGCGATCAAATTTGGTAGCGATAACTATGATGCCCAGAGGATGAATCCCAGTGACTTTGACGGCCCACTGTAAAGCCATCATCGACATCAGGTCACAATTTAAACATGTACAACAATTTAGTGTATGACCTGAAAAACTATCACCGTTCCCATCAGCCTCGGGTGTACTTTGTGGGTGGAGCTAATTGGCAAATGCTAGCATGCTAACACGCTAAACCAAAATTGTGAACATTGTAAACGTTCTACCATGCCATTGTGAGCAGGTTAGGGTGCTGATGTTAGCATTTAGCTCACAGCACCCTGTTCCAAAGTGCACAGATAGACCAACTGATATACTCTTAGTCTTATAAGTCACAATGCATTTCTTACTACAGATTTATTTTTTAAGACATAAATACATACAATTTATGCAGAAAATGTAGATAGATTGGTTTTGTTTTCTATAAATGATGACGAAAAATGTAGAAGGCAATATTAACACTACATTTTAGAAGCCATTTTCAGTCACTGAATTGTGTCCACACGTAACAAATGTAATAGAGTAGCTTTATAGAAGCAGAACTGCAAAGACTGCTGTCTGTTACCAAAGCTTTCTTGTGAAGCTTGCTGTGGGACGCTCATTATGCTGTTCATTCACTCATGGACATGAAGTGCTTTACCTGCTTTACCTTTACCTTTAGCCGTAGCAGACTGTCTGGTTTAACTCTTCGCTCTGCCAGATAACCAAACAAGCATCCCAGACAGGTATGTCAGGCTGTGATCGATAAATTGCACACTTATGCCCATTCCATCCCACATACGTTATTAACTTTCAAATGTCAGGCATGCTCCTGCATGCAGCTGCGGATTGTCTGTGAGCGATCCTGAAAGCTAGAGGTGGAGCTGACATTTAGGATCAGCTCCTGCGTACTCTTCCATGCTCCAGGGCTTCAGACCTGAATGGACGAAACATGTCAGCACTGTAGACGAGAACAGTGTGTTTTAGGAGCTCTTGTTGTCTCGAGGAACAAAGAACCTCCTCGAGGAAGAGAACTACTCTTTTCATTCTTTTCATACACTGATTTAAGTATTCATCCGTGTTTAAAATTTCTTTATCTCTTTTTTATTTGTGCAAAATTTCACTCTGCTTTTTCGTTTTGCAGATGCTAATATTAAATATTCCGTACTTATGCTACCGTGCAACTCTACCGATATACTGTTACTTTCTACATTGCACCATTCTTGTATCAGATGTCTGAGGGGGTTTAGCATGAAATTTAATATTCATGCTTGGATATGAAACTCGAGATAATGCCACCAGATAATATTGACACCAACCTGTAATTTTCCATAACCACATAAAGGATTCTTCTGCAGCAGGTTGGGCTCTTGGCTACAGTAGTTCCTTGTCATTACTAGTAATCGTATCCAGTCTGCCATTATATCATTCTCACCGTCCAAGTAAATGACAAACGTCTGCCCTGCTGAAATGAGCAACCCCCAGTGTGATCTATTCTGTTTTCTCTAGATATATATCTTTGACCAGCCAGGGATGTGCGGCCAGAGGCTCGAGGTGCGCGGCGATGTCATCGATGCCACGCCCTGGGAGCTGCAGGAGACCATCTCCATCAGGGTCGTCAGAGGAGGGTGAGTGGCTCAACTGTACAAGTATTTTGCTATCCAAGTTTTTGCAGTTAGTATACAAGAAAATCTGCGTATTGTACTTAACATTTTTTTTTAACAGAAAACGACACAGGACATGCTATTGTGCCAAAGAATTAACTGTTTTAACTGTTTCACTGTCATAGTTACCTACATTTCCTTTGTGTATTGCATCGTGGGACAACACTGTACATCAAGAGCACACTCAAAAAACAGTCAAACAAACACCAGTAAATCTGCACCTCATGCCACCACCAACAACAACTATTTGGCACTTCAATAAACACAAGCATCTGGAGATTGTTAAAGTTGCAAAGGTAGATAGGGTGACACCTCCACACATTGTTCCTCTTGAACTGTAAGGTGTGTAATTAGTTATAATAAACCCCTCATCAAAACAAAACAGCCATTGATGCGCTGTAGACATGCAAATACCTTTACATGGTTAACACACCCATGCACACATGCTGAAGCACACACTTGCGTCAGATGTGGAATGTTTTATGTAACACAGCCAACACCGTGAACCAGCACTGATGGTACTGTTGCTATGACCTGCACCACCAACACCAGGCTTGATTGGCTTCCTACAAAGAGATAATTATACTGCCATCTCATCTCATGTATCGATACACGGCACCACTGCCAAAACCACAGCTCCTTCTCTAATTAAAGACTTTTATGTACTTTTTTGGCCCAGGTTAAAACTAAGATCTACTTTCTTTTATTAACAGATGTATCTTGGTCAAGCAGCACTGTCCTTAAGTACAATGTAAAGCTACTTGTATTATACTTGAGTGTTTCCATTTCATGGTACTTTCTCCTTTGATGACTTTTTATTCCATCACATTTATTTGACAGCCTTGATTGCTTGTTACTTTTTAGACCTACAAAACATTGGATAAGCTTAAAAAATACAATGCAATGTTAAATATTAAATCAGTGGTTCTCAAGCTTTTAGACGGGTGAACCCACTGGTGACAGTGTCTAGTTGGAGCCCCTTCTGATGTTTCAGATGTCCAGGACAAGTGTCAAATATGCGATAATGCTAAAACCTGTTGTAACAGTGGAGAAGAGTCACAAAGTCAGTGAGCTGACTGGGTAGTGCATCCTAACCTGCTCACAATGACAGCGCTTTTATTGCTGATGTTTAGCAGATACAATGTTTGTGTTTTTACCAATGACTTCTTCACACAACACGCTGATCACAATGGGGTTATTTTTGCAGATATTTAGTCAGAACCAAAGTGTTACACAAAGTTTGGTAACACCAGCTAACTTTAGCCACAATATGCGACTGGTCCTACCAGTGTGTGTATTGAGTGTATTGAATCGGTCAATGCATTTTATTGCTTATTAATCCAGCTTTTGATCTGTAGGAGGGAGAAAGTGTTTCTTCTTTTAAAAGTAACAAAGTCTCACTTTAACCAATCATACCAATCCTTCTGTCTCCCATGTATGAACACCGCTTTGTTAGATTTCAGAATAAAGATGCAGCGATGTGATGTGAAACTGTTTTCAATCAACAGGGGGGCTATGAATTGTATACAAACACAGGCCCAGAAGCATAGATCATAAGTACATTGGAGGTTTTTAACCTTGTGCCCCTTTTTTCCCCCCCTAGATGGGTGCTGTATGAGAAGCCTAACTTCAAAGGCGAGAAGATCGCCCTGGACGAGGGAGACATAGAGCTCACCTACCCGTTCAGTCCAGAGAAGCAGCTGCAGAATGGAGAGGAAGAGGCCGAAGAGCAGAACGCAGAGCAGAATGCAGAGCAGAATGCAGAGCAGAATGCAGAGCAGAACGGAGAGCAGAATGCAGAGCAGAACGGAGAAACAAGTGATGTGCCGACCAAGCCAGCCAGGAGGTTCATCATCGGATCTCTCAGAAGAGCTGTCAGGGTAAGACAAGTTCACCTCTCTCTGTTGTTGACAAAAATAATTCCTTCCTTTTAGATCAGTTGTGATAAAGTACAGTGAAATCGTTCTTTGTAGGCTTAAGTATTTTCTCTTTAACATTGCTATCTAATGCTGAAAGGCTGAATATTTTTGTACTGTAGCTTGTCAGTGACGATGTGCTCTTTTAACTCAGTAGCACCATCTGGTGTCAAAAGCAGGAGCACGCACCTGTTGCTTTGACTTTCAGAAGTCTATGAAGTGTCAAATATTTCAAGGAAATATTTTATTTCCTCAACTCAAGCAAATGTTTTATTTTTTTCTGATGTTGTTCACATCTCTTTAACTGTATAGTCACAGTTTTTATAGTCCCGTGACTTTTTAACGCTGCAACAAAAACCAAGCAGCAACATATTTAGTGTGATCTGTGTCTGTACAGTTCCCACTGAGCCAACCACCGCACATGTGTCCTCAGTCCCTGCAGGACTGCAGCATTACCTCCTGTTATTTTCTCCGTTACGTGACATTGATGGGCGCTCTCTGTCCCCTCTTCAGGACTACAGCGTCCCAGAAATCGCACTTTTCCCCGAGGAGAACGCAGAAGGGAAGAAGGTCATCTTCAGAGATACGTCTGAAGATGCCAGGATTTTTGGCTTCCCCATCAAGGCCAACTCTATCATCATCAATGCTGGGCTGTGAGTTCTGAATTATGAGCTATGACAGATTGCATGATCGTGTGGAATTTGCATAATAATGTTCACGTGTTAACTTTCCATTAGTGATTCATTTAATCTGATTTGAAAATCAAACAAATGTTGCTGTCTTTTCTTTCTACCGCTCAGATGGCTGGTGTACGCACATCCCTTCTTCCAGGGCCTACCACGTGTCCTTGAGGTGGGGGGGTTCTCCAACCCTGCGGCCTGGGGAGTGGAACAGCCCTATGTGGGATCCCTACATCCACTCAAAGTAGTAAGTGGCGCTGTTAGAAGCATTTACAATTTCTCTTCTTTACATATTCTGCATAAAAGTATGTCCCCTGACTGTTTGCAGCAAGTTGATTTATTCATTCTTTTATCACAGGGTGAACCAAGAGTGGAAAATATGAGTGAACCAAAGGTAACAGAGCACAAATACTGCTAATGAATTGCTGCTAAATCAAAGTAATACTTCAGTGCACCCTGATTGTAACTGACACCCTGTTGTCTCCAGATGGTGATCTACGACAAGCCGTACTTCACTGGGAAATCGAGGACCATAACCACCAACACGAGGGACTTCATGACCAGAGCAGACCAGCAGCAGAAGGCCTTTATGTACAACATCGGCTCCCTTAAAGTACAGGGAGGAATGTGAGTGCTGTGTTGCAATGTTTGTATTCGCTGAACCATGTAAAGACTTCTTAGCGATCATTAATGATTAAGTAGCACTGCGGACAGCCAATATCAGATAGCTCAAAATGATGGGAGCATTATGCATGTTTCCTTTTAACCCCGTGCCTCTTCTGTGTCGCTGAAGGTGGGTGGGCTACGAGAAGGAGGGCTTCCGGGGCCACCAGTACCTGCTGGAGGAGGGAGAGTACCATGACTGGAGGGTGTGGGGAGGCCACGATGCCGAGCTGCGCTCTGTCAGGGTGATACGAGCAGTAAGTTGAGAGGAATATTTCACTGCAGTTAGTGTTTTGTTAATAAGTAATTATTCAAATGTTTGAATCCAAATTAAAAGGGAAAGGTGTGGCACCCGCTGAATGCAAAATGCAGATTGAATTGTCTCTTTGTAATGAGAATCCAATGACATGTAATGTTACCTACAGTACAAAAAATGCCGTCCTCTCCGTGTTTTTTTGTTGGAACTGCATATGTTTTTTGCGTGCATGCAAATTGTGCTTGATCCCTTTCTGTTATGAATATTTGATGTTCTTTTTCTGGGCTTATGTACTGCACTGTATGTGCGTGTTTCAGTACTCGGCACTAGTGCACTTATGCATACACACATATACAGTATACAGAGGTGAATGAAGAGGAATCATCATTTGTTTTCTGTGGTTGTTCTTATGGGAACGTGGATCTTCCAGATCAATTTGAGGAGTGCATATGGTTTGCATGGTTTCACGTTGTATCGTAAGCGTGTCATGCAGAGTGGGACTCCCACTGGTCTTGGTCTTGCTCTTGACTTGGACTCAACCCCTCAGCTTCGATAGACTCCGGTCTTTGTCACTACTTGGCCTAGGTTTAAGTGGTCTTGACTTTACTTTTGCTGCTGTAATGATCTCATTTTATCGGTCTTATCTAATCTAAAAAGTGGCTTTGCACTCCAATAAATGGCCGCTGTAGTCCTGATACCAGTCGCATGAAGCTGCAGCTCAGGACATCAGAGTTATGATTTAGATTCAGATTCATTAAGTTAAAATGGTATGGTTTACAAACAACAGACAGTATACAACCATAATGAAAACACATAAAACATAAATGACTTTAACAATCTTCTAAAACCATGATTGACCTGATTCAGACATGTAATATAATGATCTTAAAACATACAGGGTTGGTTTGAATTTCAAGTACCATTTGCTAGTCTTCACTATATTTGCGTTCTAACATTGTCTCTCCGAAAATTGTCAAAAGATGACATAATCCTATTCCAGCCAGAAGTTTCGCTAAGTCAACCCATTTTCTTGCTTTCCTGCAGGAGCTGACGGACCCCTTGATGGTGATGTTTGAACAGCCAGAGGAAGAGGCGGAGGGCGAGCAGGAGGAGAACACCTTCGAGGTGACGGAGGCCATTCCCGATGTGGAGCTGTTTGAGTACAAAACCTCCACGCGATCCATCAGCGTACTCAGCGGGGCGTAAGTCGATTGGGATTCTACAGAATATTTACTTTACCGCTCAGTGAAGGGGAAATCTATCGCAATTACCACTGGTAAATGTTCGTCATCCTTACAGATGGATAGCCTACTCCCATGTGGACTACTCTGGTAACCAGTACATCTTAGAGAAAGGCTTCTATAACAAGTGTGCCGACTGGGGCTCTCAGGACTCTCGCATCTGCTCAGTGCAGCCCATCATACTGGTGAGGGCCGCTGTGAAGGCATCAAACTATTCATTTGATCAGCGTGTTCATGTTCTGGTGGTGCTTACATTTTTGTTGTGTTGACTTTTAGGCCCCAAGTGACGGCTCAAGCACCAGGATTGAGGTATTTTGCCTTGACTTTCTCCCTTTTACGATGTTTTACCCATCTTAGTCTTGCAGTCCCTGCATAATATCGGCAGAGAAAACGTAGCTATTATAGGTGTCAAATCAGAGAGAAAAATACAGAAAGTAGGGATTTTAAAACGGATGCACACACATCTCTAATGAAACCTATGATATAGCCCTGATCACTTTCCCTCAGTTGTCCTTTTTCTCTATCTGGTGTCTGTCACAGCACCCAGTTGTGCAAAACTTTAATTTACAATTTTTGGCACAAGCTGGATCATGTGCTCCATGCTGGCAAAATCACATTTTTGTTCTTTGCGCACTGATCCAGCCATAAAACTGCTGCGCTTCAGAGCACAAGGGTGGATTTTTACCTTAGTCAAAGATTAATGTTGCAGGTGAAATATGAAATACTGTATTCTGTATTGTATGAAGAACCTGTAATCACCGTAGTTGCTATAACTTATTACAGCTGAAAATAAGATAATAATTCCTTCTTGGGGGCAGCTTAGAAAAAAAGGCTTGAGGTCATAAATGTGTTAATCTCTTTCCTTTACCTCCATCTCTTCCTGTCAGATAATACTGTACTCTGAGCCAGACTTCCAGGGCGAGTGTCACAACTTTAAACTCAACCAGGAAGCATTGTCCGAAAAATTCCTGACCAAGTCCTGCCGAGTGTCGGGGGGAAGGTGAGGAGCCTTTACCAAAGCATTACAGTTATCCAAAAAGAAAGGAAACTGGAGTCTGTGAAATAGAAAAGAGCATAAAGAATAATGTGTGAAAAGGCTCCCAATGCAAAGGCTGAACAACAACATAATCTGTGTTTCAGCTGGGTGCTCTACGCGGATAAACAGTACTCTGGAAACATGTACGTCTTATCTGAAGGAGACTACCCCAACTTAACCAGCATGGGATGTCCGACCGGCTCCACCATCCGCTCTGTCAAGGTCGTGCCAATGGTGAGGAGGCAATTGTGTTTAAAAACAAAAAATTCTGTGTTCTTTCCTGTGCCTTGCTCTGATCCGCCCTCTGTCTCTCCCTGTCTAGACGCTCTCGGTTCCTTCCATCTCTCTGTTTAGCCTTGAGTGTCTGGAGGGCAGAGAGATCACCATCGACACAGAGATCTCCAACATGGTCGAAGAGGGCTTCAACAACCACATCCTGTCCGTCAAAGTCAACAGCGGCTGGTACGTGCTGGTCTCTTTCGTCAGCTTGTGTTTGGTCGTGTGCGGTTTGTGTGTTTGCATTTGCATTGTCGTTAAGCTGCTGTCCAGCTTTTGTTGCGAGCGGCAGCTTATTTTTATGACAGGAAGGGAGTTTAGAGAAGTGGACCGTCAAGAATTGATCGTCAGCTGTCACAATGGAACACCTTATTTCGGGTCCCTGTGTAGGCCATGTGATAGTTAGGCGCCTAATGTTGTCTCTCTTCCTTTGCAGTTGGGTGATATATGAACACAGCGACTACAGGGGGCGCCAATTCTTACTGGAACCAATTGAAATCGCCAACTGGCCAAAGTTCAGCTCTATACAGAGCATTGGCTCAATGTTCCCAGTTCGACAGGTTTGTGAACAAGTCATCGATACCTGTTGCCACAGCGTGTGGTTAGTATTGTTTTCACCTTATGACTCTGTGTCATCGTGGCAGAGTGCGGTCTGGGAGTTTTTTTTGTCACCGCGATACCGTCACAACAGTGCAATATGCAGTCACGAAAACACCCAAGGGAAATTTGATTTCCTTACACAATGTATCGGTTTCATGCTTATACAGCACTTAATTAATATCTCAAACATCTCAAACAGCAAGATAGACACCACTGCTAGACAAAGCTTGTTTCCCATAATACCTCTCTTTAAACGGTGGAAATTATGTAAACTAGTTTAAATGAAAAGACAAATGTAAACCAATATGTTATTTCTTGGGTATTTAATGATGATCTTTGACTCTGTGATGACAATGTGTTGTGATGTTTTGCCCCCCGCAGAAGCGCCGCCTTCTACGCATCAAGAACAAAGACACAGGTCACTTCCTGTCTGTCCAGGGCGGCGTGGAGGAGATGAAATCAGGACGAGTGGTGGTGACACCAGAGGTGGAGCCCATGAGTGACATCTGGTTCTATCAGGATGGCTTCATCAAGAGCAAGGTAATGCGGCATGATTGAAATGTAATTAGCGTTGGCTGCATCTTGCCAACCAAAACCTGAACTTGTCATCTGACTTAACAATGGGCTGCTCTAATCATGTACTGTGTGTGTGTGTGTGTGTGTGTGTGTGTGTGTGTGTGTGTGTGTGTGCTGTAGTTGTCTCCAACCATGAGCCTTCAGGTGATGGGCAACATAGAGCCGGCAGCCAAAGTGGTTTTGTGGACAGAGACCCGGCAGCCTATCCAGACTTGGACAGCCCAGATGAGAGGCCGCATCAGAAGCCTCACGTTCCCTGGCTGCGTGCTGGATGTTAAAGGTATGAGGAAAGAAAAAAAGCCACATGGGCACTGGCTGATTTGCATTAGCATTTATATAACGATGTGCTTCCTTTAATATGCTAAAAATGTATGCAAAGTTGTAAGAGTAATTCCTTTTTCAAAATAAGGTTGTGAATTTGATAGGCTTACATTTTTTTTTTACATGTAAAGTTCTTTGTGGTAACTTGAACCGCTGTATTTACAGCCAGGTGGTATTGCTGTCGAATAAACAGTAGTTGATTAAATGTGCTCGGTTACATTCCACCACTGTGTGACACAAAAAAACAGTTTTTCTTCTTCTGGATGTTCATTATTTATTAACATATTAACTTGAACTTAACATGATTATTTTTCCTTTTCCTCAGGTGGCAAAACCTACGACAAGGACCACGTGGTGATTATGCCAGAGGATGACGAGAGGCCAAGCCAACAGTGGGAGATAGAGCTGCTGTAACCGGCTATAGAAACCGCATGTTTCTCTTCACTAAGCTTTGCTCAGCAGTGCTTCGACAACTCCACAGTTTCTCCTAATATATTCTCGGAGCCATTTCTTCTTTTTTTTATTTTTTATTACGTGATCCATGTAACTAGTGCGAACACTCTGACAGTAAGAATGCAGCTGCCGCCCTGAAGAGCTGCCCCAGACAGTTGAGTGCTTTGTAGAGTTTTGTGTTGTGTTCTCATGAAATTGTTGCATTTTCTCCCAATCATAAGGATTTGTTTCTGTACGCAAAGACCAAAAACACAGAACACTGTCAGTGCCTTGACCTGCTGCAGCGACTGGGTTTAGTTGGAAAGAAAGAATGGATGTATTTTGGAGGATCTTCTGAACTATATAAACCCTGACACAAGAACCATTCATTGATGATTTAGTACTGTACTTTAACTTTGACCTGTATCGGACGTTAGCACTTGTCAACAATTTGAGTATTCAAAGGAGAATCTCCCTGCTGGTATGATTCCCTGCCTTCTACAGCAGCTATTGTCGATACTTTTATATTCTTGGAGCAAACCAAGCTCTGGTTTACCTGGAGCGAACAGCATGTGGCTTACCAGTGCTTTCTGCAGATAGTGGACAAATGAAGCCAATCGAATGCATAGTGTGCATTAAATGAACGCTGTGCTCTTTTTTTTTTTTAAAGGTATTTTTTTATATGTACTGTGTGTATCAATGTTTGTTTTGTGGGAAATGTTGCTTGTATGTACGTATGCCGTATATCCCATTGAATCGTGCTGTGCAGTCGTGCATGCAGCCATCCTGTTTCTTGTTTGTTATAAAGTCTGCATCAGCGTATGTTAATATTTGATACTAAAGAGGTGACGTCAGATGTTGTGTAAGAGGGAGTGGTTTTGAAATATTGAATAAAACACAAACATTGTTAAATAAAACAAAGCTGTCTCATTGATTTCAAAAGAATCATCAATAATATTTTTGCTGAAAACTTTTATCCTGATTTCTAAAATGTATACTATCATGAGGCCAAACAACCTGCTAGATCAGCTTTGTTTGTAATAAGCACTCGGGTGTTATGTTTCCTTATGCTATACATGTTTAAAAAAACATAATAATCACAAGGGTCAGATCGATGATCAGCACTGATCACATGTTTCCTCTCAGTGCTGATCAATATCAAATAGATGTCTGGTGCGGAGTTAATTATTTGGTTGATGTCCTTCTGGCTTTCATTCCACTTTAATGGACTATTTTGTTGGTTCATTTACTTCCATTATACCTCCCATCCCTGCAATCTGTCCATTCATGCTTTAATCTCTTCAGTTCCCCCGGCTGTTTGAAAGCAGGGTGAGGGATTGATTTGTGTTTCTGTGGTTAATGGCTTTCTGAAATGCACCAAGCCAACAAGAAGGAAACACGTCTGCTGATGGTCCAGTATTCACGTTCATTATTATTTACGTATATGTGTATCTCCTATTTGAGATATGCGGAATTTCAAATAGTTACAACCGTTAATTAATGAACGACCAAAAGAGGAAAAATAATAACTGAATAAGTAGCGAAATACTAATTTTAGTAATTCAACTATTTCAATAACTAATACTTTAAATTACATCTCAACTGCTTTCAATCAATTTCTCTGATATTTCGACCGCTTTTACATTTACACATCAATCGACATTCAGTTGCTTTCATCTCTTTCTCTTCAAATGACACATCAACTGCTTTTATCTCTTACTTTGTAAAATACTGCACTTACACATCAACGTACACTTCATTTACGTTTTCTTCAGAAAGCTTTGCCTCTTCTGATTTCATTTTTTTTTCTTTGCCGTTTTTTGTTGAAATGGATGTTGAGCGCAGCAAATCTTAGATCAACATTACCAAAAGGCAAAAAAAAAGAGCTTGCTGTTGATCAGCTTTGTTTGTAATAACCACACAGGTCTCGTATTTCTTTGTGCTCTGCAGGTGAGCAGCAGGTACAAGTGAGAGACACACAGAGGATTGGATGCACTTGTTCAATGGTTTTATCATGCTGCGTATCCTCTTAGAAATCCCCTTATGGGGCAAATGGTGTTCTGCTGGGTGTTTCAGTGAGACACAATAACTTGTATGAACTGTAACCTGTGCCTGCTGAGTTTGAAAGTGGATGTGATATGTCTCTGGCCCTCTGTCCCTTCTCTTGAAGGGAAAAGGGCCGATAAGCGTTTTTGTGGAGTATTAGATCATTATCACTTGCAGCCACAAATGCAGGTGCTAAACAAAACCTTTTGTTATATCTTGTGACACAATTCAGACTTCAGGTTTTGGAGCCAAAAGACAATCGGGTTGTACGAGAGCACACCAGTCTCAGGGAGATCTGCTTTACTCTGAAACCAGAGCTGGCCGCTCGCTGACGTACCTGGCGTTGCCTGGTGGGCTTGTTTATCAGACATGTGCTCCATCTTGGAGGCGGGCTGTAAAAGGACAAAGCTGTAGGTTGAAAACATTCACACTAAACAATCCTTCAACAAAGAGGATTCCTTGCATAATCTAACACAAAAGCAATTCCTCACATTTTCAGCCAGACCAGCGTCAGGATGTACAGTTCATGGTCATTTCACAACGAAGGCGACCTGTAAACAAACCTGCATGTCTGGATTCCCTCCCTGCGAGGAATGTCAGTATTTTACAACTGGGGTTGTCACAGTAATTCTACCGACCAATGGTGCTGGCAAAGCCGTGAGGGTGCTCGGCGCCGATTGGTCAGCTGACTGATCCACAGTCAGGTGGGTGATCTGCAGAAGGTGTGGCACAGTAAGGGTGGGACTGAGATACAGGGCTGATTCCAGGAGGTTGTGAAAAGAAATCTCCTCTGCCTCCACACCTTCCTGCAGCTGCCACAGCGTTCTGTTACAGGTAGGAAAAATAAGCATTCTTTAAAGGTACTGTGAGAAAATGTTCGTGTGTGATTTTGTCATGTGTTTGTTGGCATGTTGGGCTTCTTAGTCTCTCATGGATAATACTTAAAGTCTTATAATTCTTTTGTTGAGATACATACAAGTCATGAATAAACTGTGATCAAGTGATTGATTGAACAACAATTGAAATTCAGATCAGGTTTGCTTCAATTTTCCCTATACTATTGATTGACACTATCAAATGGTGTCGTTTCAACTATACTGTGCCCTCGTTCCTGTGTGTGTGCTATCTGTTTACTCTATATTTCTGCATGTGTGTGGACCAGTAATCTCTTGCAGTTCAGACAAAGCCATGGACCCTGAGTACTTCCAATCACATGTAAGTAGACCGTTCCGTCTTCCCTCTGCCGTCGCTTTGTGACTCAGTTACTAAGACACCACAGTCTCAGATAAAGTAATCTGGTGTCTTGTGTTCTCTGATTAACCGCATTCCTTCTAACGTTATCAGCAAAAGTCACTATGTGCGTGGTGGAATGTGATGTTTAAGACTTAGCAGCACAATACTGTGTTAATAGTTCAGCACTTATGTTGTCGAACTACTTCTCCAAGCCACTACTACTTCCTCTTCTTCTTTTTTGATTTCGGAGATGTTTGTTTCCCCCTCTCTTACTCTCCCTATTCATCATGTAGATCATGTGTTGGGGAACCCTTGGAACGGTGCGACCCTTCCCTAATTTCCGCCCTGACGAGGATGCCATGGAGATCCAGGCAGCGCTGGAGAAGAAAGGTACTTCTGCTGATAAAACTGGTTTTAGAAAGCGGTGTTGTCGACCATCAATGTTGCATGAAGCTGTACACAGTCCTACTGTTTCATCCCTCTCCCCATGATTAAACGTAGTTTCCTAACATTGTGTACCTGGCTCAGATGTGGTGACTCTGGTTAGAATCCTAACCAATCGGACCAACGCTCAGAGACAAGCGATCGCCGAGACCTTCGAAGAAATTACACAAAAGGTCAGGACACGCAGCACTTCTTACCGAATCTGACAAGATGAAAACGGTTCTATAAGAAGCATATAGAAACTAAAACATGGTATTCAGAGTAACAGTTTAAAATGTAGAATATTCCTCACAAGAATCCAGGTCATGCAATACAACAGAGTGTTGAGTTGCAACGACGATACTGTGTGTTGCAAATGTGTGTGTTTGTTCATCTGTAACCTCCGAGTGTTTGCTGCACAAACATTATCTAGACAGGTTTCTAAAGGTTTAGGACACACCTTTGTTTAGAGAGGGAGCGGTATACGCTAAAGTAATATCACAGAGCATGAATATGATGCTGTAGATACATAAACTGTTTCTTTTACACAATGAGGTGATAGCATCTAGCAGATACTACCACACCGATACTTTGTGGTCAAACCGGCAGGAATCTCCTTTGAGTTGCATAGTAACAGCCTATCAGAGTATCTTAGGGAAGTCCAACACAGAACTGGTATTGTTATTTAAATTGTCATGAAGCACACTCTTACGAGTCCATAGAGTGGTGAGGTAATGAGTCCTAAAACCTGAAAATCAGTCAGCATCTTTTCACTTCCAGTTCCCTCGCCTTGATGTCAGTGGGTTTTTTGGTGATACGTCTGAAATAAGGTCTGTGGTTAACACAAGCTTAAGGGATTTGAACATTTTGTTCTACGATATAACGTATGCCAGTAAATACCCCTCTTGTTACATTTTAAGCTTTTACATGTCTTAGTACAGGCGGTTGCTACCAAGCGGCTCAATAATACTGCTAAAGGACAAGAATAAACAGAATGAAACATATTCAAATACAGCAAGGCGTCCAGTGGTGGAATGTAACTAGGCTACATTTACTCAAGTACTGTACTTAAGTCCAATTTTGAGGTACTTGCTTTACTTGCATAATTCCATTTTATGCTACTTTATACTTTTAAGTCACTAAATGATGGAGACCAATATTGTACTTTTCACTACCACTACATTTATTTGTCATTATTTATTGGCTACTTTGCAGATTTGGATTTGTAATATTAAAATATAAATCAACACATACATTATGAAGTATTATCATTATCAAGAATGGATTAAGCCAGTATTTTTCAACCTGTTCTGAGCCACAGCACATTTTTTACATTAAAAAGATCCCGCGGCACACCAACAACCAAAAACGTTACAAAATGACACCTTTTAGCATAATACAGCATATATGCAGGGGTGTCAAACTCAATCACAGAGAGGGCCAAATTAAGAAATTGTGACTATGTTGAGGGCCAAATAGAGTCACCATTTAATAAACAGTAGAGAAGGGATATTGCACAAAGTGCAAAAAGAATACAGGTAGGCTACATTATTTTATGCATACAGAGCCAGATGTTTGGCATCTTTTCTTGGCTGCCAGTTCATTAATATCTGGGGTTAAGTTCTGTGCTGTGGAAACCCTCAAGATGGACTGAAGGTGTGCATCAGTGAGACGACTCCTGTGTGGGTTTTTGTTCATCTTCATCACAGAGAACAGCTGCTCACAGGTACACAGGTATGTGCTCCCAAACATGCAGAGCGTTTGAGCAGCATGTAGGCGGAGTTTAGGCATCATTTCGGGGGTGAAGCTTGGAAGCTGTGCAGCGCCCTCAGAGTCACACTTTACCTTGAGTGTCATTACACTGGAGGTCTATCAGCTCCACAGGTGCTCTTTCCACGTCAACTGCAAACGGATTGCTGAGCATTTCAGATTTAAATTTCTGAGCTGCAAAGTCGGTAAATCGCCGATTGAACTCCGTGCCAAGTGCGCCCAGTTTATCAGCAAAATGCGCAGTCGGGAACACAGCGGTGGAGACTTTTACACATGTCTGTGATCACACATGTCTGTGATCATACATGTCTGTGATCATATGTCCCCGTCCCTGAAGCTGCAGGTTTAGCGCAGTGAGATGCTTCGTTATGTTGCACATAAAGCCAGCTCACATCGCCACTTTTCGTCCCGGAGCTCTGTGGTGTGGCGGGCCAGTTATGATAAACATTATGGTATTTTCAGGCGGGCCGTTGTACCGAGGGCCGGATTTAATGACAAGTCTCTCAATGTGTTGATGCTTACTAGGCTTTTCATCTGGGTTATTTTGTCCAGGGCCCAGTTCAGAGTCAGCATTTTTACTTTTCAAATATTTCTCCGCAACCTCTCCCGCGCGTCATTTCATTCGATTATCTTAAATGAACACGGTCATTACTGCGCTACCTACTGCCACCCACTGGCATGGAAGAGTATTTATTACTATAGCCAGACACTATAGTGCAGCTCAGACGCTCAACAATGGCAACGTATTTCCAACAACTAAATAATGTTTTTTTGGACTCATTAAGTGAAATTGGACATTTTCCCACGGCACACCTGACGATATCTCACGGCACACTGGTGTGCCGCGGCACAGCGGTTGAAATTCACTGGATTAAGCTACCTGGTGAAAAAAAAAATAGCATGTGTACACATTAATGCATAAGTACTTAAACTTTCAGTTTATTTTGATACTCATACACATGAGAATGAGAAAGAATCTTGAATGCAGGACTTTCACTTTCCTTTCTTTTTTTAAAAAGGCCTTCAGTAATAGTTGCTGTTTGATGGCGAGTCAGCAGAGAGTTTATTGTCTATTCTGACTTGGCAGGACCTGGCAGCTGGTGTGAAGAAAGCTGTGGGTGGAGAACTAGAGCTTCTGCTGCTGGAGCTGCTGATGCCTTCTCTGCAGTATGAGGTTTATCGCCTGCAACAGGCCATGGTGGTGAGTGGGTGTTTGTGTACATATTTTGGGTGGCTTTTGCCTTGGCTGTCTGTCCATCCCAGGATATATATATATACAGTATGCGTGTGTCTGCAGGGTTTCGGCACAGATGAGGAAACACTGCTGGAGATCCTGTGTACACAATCTGAAGCGAAGCTTCGAGAAATCAGCGCTATGTACAAACAATGTAAATCACAGAACTTTTCTAATCTTTCTCCCATGTGTTTTATTTTGGCGGGGTTGATTGTTGTTGAACATTTAAAACCCACTAATCCATATAATCCTTTGTTTCAGTGTTCAAGAAGGACCTGGACAAGGAACTGAAAGGAGAAACCAGCGGAGACTTTTCTAAACTTCTTTTGGCTTTGTTGAATGTAATTTATATATTTATTTGCTTTATTGTCACCTTTAACCTCAGAAGTACAGCTAGAGACCTTAATACTGTCAGTAATTAGTAATCAATCAGCTTCAAACATTTGACATTATGTAAACAATGTATCTTGGATATGAAATAGCAATTAAAGGTGTTTTCTCCCTCCGACAGAAAGAAGCTGTTGCTAGTGGAGTTCAAAGAGATATTGAGGTAATATTTTCCATGATACTTTTCAGCTTTTAGTATTATATTTTAATTTGATAAAGTAGATGCAATGCAACATTTTAACACTGCACTGATATGGTAGTTAAGACTCATTAACATGCATCACACCTGTGATACACCTGGGAATAAGGGGCATTGTTGCACGGGGAAATCTGTCATCTTAAATGAATCTGCCAGAGCATCACTCATTTTATGAAAAACAGGCAAACCACTGTTTGACTACTACTGTACTAGAGAAAAAGTCATTTCCTCCTGGTTGTAAGCCAGACTAAGTCTGAGGTTTCCCCTCTTTTTGATTGTGTTTTATTGTTGTCATCCAGTCTCTCTCTGCTTCGCTGAATGGGAAGAAAGGTGAAGCGGGACTGTGGATTGACATACTGACCTCTAGAGACTCAGACCATCTTAACAAAGGTGAGGCTGCGATACATTGTTCTGACATATAACAGTTCTTGCACATAATGTTTCTGTGCGTTAGAAAGTCTTCACTGTTATGAAATATGAATACCTTGGTTCCCCTCGTTGACAGTGCTGGATGCACTGGAGCTGCAGAGAGGACAGACGGTGGATCAGGCTCTGGAGAAAAAGTTCTCGGGGGAAATTCGAATGGGTTTGAAGGTTTTAGGTAAATATTGTTTGAGATACTGTGTGGGTTATGTCCATGTTGATCAGTCACTAATGTTTCTTGATATCTGTGCCATGACAGTACAATGCATCCAAAACCCTTACGTCTACCTCGCCAAAAGACTAGTTAACACGAAGGTAAGATGCTGACAAAATCCACTGTCCCTTTTATTCTGATTATGTAAGATCAGATGATCAAACTATACTGTGACTGTTTGAGGGATGGATGAAGTGATTGATCATCGCATTTATCCGTTCAAAGACTCTGGATCAAGTTTAAATATGTCTCATTCACACACCACTTAATGATTTAATCAAGTAATTATTAAGGAAATGGTCTTTGTTTTTAATCTTGTCTATGATATTCTTTTTCTACTTCAGTCATAAACAATATTCATAAAAATAAATGAACTTTTATTGTTATTTTTATTGTTGTCTCGCATGTGCTATGTATAATAATAGTAACAGTATCGTTTGTTTCCAATCCCTTTTAATCCCTTTAAATTTGAACGTCTCAAAATTCCTTCCTGTAATTGTGCCGTGTAGATACATTTGCCTCTTGCCTCTAGACTAGAGAAAAGAATATACAAAGATGAGTGGTTAAACCATGGCAGCAGGATGCATTCGCATGTTTTTTCTCAATGAACGAGATACCTCAGCATTCCAAGATGTCACACACCTGTTTAGTTTAATCCAGCATTCACATCCCAATGAATGTGTAACTGGGGCGCAACTGCCAGATTGTCTATTGAGTAACCACGAGCCGGCCAGAATGCATTTCAGATGCATCATCTTATGTCCGTGAGTCATTCCATATCAGTTCAACTGATCCTGGAGAAACACCGCAGCGTCCAGCAGATCAGAATGGGCTTTATGTCGACACACCTGCAGAATCCTCAGGTGCTTGCACAAAGTTAACAAAATAATAGCAATGCCATCTATACTACTTACAGACACGAGTGTGTAACAATGCCTCAGACGCACACCAAAATTAAACTGAATCAAACTAAACAGGCTTCCTTTATATCAAGCTCTCAAGTAAATGAAAACTTCTGTATCTCACTAATTCAGAAAAACAGGGTAGAATTTAGTTTTTTACATAAAACTTTCTCCGAATTTTGAGGTAATAATCTTGTTAATTCAGACAAACAGGGCATGTTTGTCTTTCTCAAGTGAATGCATAACCAGTATGTAATGTAATTGACATTCTATACATGGGAAATCATCAAGCGTCCGAGATTTTTAAAAGAAATTCACTCAGAAAACTTTTCACTCTTTCAGACCCCGATACTGCAGGGGATTATGGTTTCTCACGCGGAGGAAGATCTGCTGTGTATCCGAGCTGCCTACCTCAAATTAACAGGCACTTCTCTCTACACCGCGCTACAGGTGCGTCCCACACATAAAACTGTATTAATTATGCCTTTAAATACTTGCATAAGTGTTTGTGTGTACTGTTCAGATAATGCATTTTCTTTCCAAATAAAATATTTCTTATTCTTTTAAGGGGAAAGTATAGGCATGTTTTACATGTGAACTTAATTTCTTTCCAACAGAAAAAATACAAAGGAGGTCATCTACAGGCTCTGCTGGCCATCTGTCGATCTGAAGATTAAACAAAAGTTATACACATTTGGAGTAGCTGCATATCTATATAGTTTTGTTTTTTTCCTTGAATCAGTCTGTTGTAATAGAAACATTAACTTTATGTTCTACTTTTCATATTTTATGGAATCTCATTTGATTACATGCTTTGTTTAGGCTTCTTTTATTGAATTATACAAATATATGCACCTAAATGTAAATAAACAAGTGATGTGGTTATTTGTTTTTATTACTTTATACATCTGCTGCACAGTTCTTCTTCATCATGATGTTGTATCTACACAAAGCTTTTTTTCCAAATGGTACTTATAAACAAAGAGTGATGGTAACCAGCTTTACAATATTGCTTGTCTTTTTTATTAATGTGATCATTTTTGATATAATGTCAATATATTCATATATTTGTACATTCAGACAGTATAGCAATCACAGTTGTGTCATCACTGACTTGGTCTAACATAAAGCGCTTGCAGCCTTTAGACTGAATGGGTTGCTCTGGTGAGCTCCGAAACACATACAGTATATATCAGGAGCCTCTGTCATCACATCTCTTTCTCAATAACGACTTATTCCTAATTCCACATAGACTTTAGATCATCACATCACATGTTGCTGTTAACCTGATTTAACAAAAACCTTAAGTTCATTAATAAACACAGTAATTTAGGAACAATCTGGAAATGTTGTACATGCTGCATTGTACATAGATTTTATTAAATCTTTCAGTATTTTCTGGATCTATTCAGTCCAACTCAAACCTCATTTAAACACAGAAATATTGTTTTGCAGCTCAGGAGCAGAGCATGTAGAGCAACAACGGCACAACAGAAAACAGCAGAGAAGCTTTGATTTCTGAGCCATTGTCTGTGGGGGTAGGAACACTTGCATGAGTGGTTGTGGCAGCAGTTGAAGACGTAGTTGGGGGAGTGGTTGTTGCCGTGGTCG